TTTAGAATCTTTTTAAATATCTTCCTAAAATGATCTTGAGTTTAGCACTGTCAGCCCTTCAAATAATCTCCCGAAAAATTATCATATTATCATCCTAAAAACAAAATTATAGCTCTGATACTCCCTGAAGAAATATATTCATAAAAATTACTATTATCCATGATAGTCTTAAAAATGATAATCTGTTAAAAACCTCGATATCAACTCTGAAAGTCTTTAAAAATATATTCTGTTAAAATTCTCGGTTTTATCTCCTATAGTCTTTGAATATACAGGGTGAGACTTTGTAAAACTCCAACAAAGTCAAACGCCATAATTTTTACATTTTTTTTTAAATTTTATTGAATAAAAGCAAAAAAGGTCGGAAATAGCATCAAATTTTAGAATAAGATTATACTTGTTCGAATTGGTCACCTTTGGCACGGCGAAGCGCATGCTTGGAGTGATCAACACTTTGGTATTTTTTAGTGCCAACCTTGCTTTCCAAAATACTCCAGACACAATAGTCCAACGGATTGGTATCCGGAGATTTTGGTGGCCATTGTGCGCTGGAAATGAAGCGAGGAACCTCATTTTGTTATCAATCCTGGGTCCTGTTGGAATGTCCAAGGTCTGCGGCCAAAATGTTTGCGTGCCCAAGGCTTTAATACACCCTCCAGAATATTTTCGAGAAAATATTCGGCATTTATTCTGATGCCACGGTCGATTAATACGAGCGGAGAGCGACCATCGGCTATTATGGCGGCCCACACCATCTCCATGGCCGGCGCTTGAGTTCTGGTGGCCAACCGAAGGTGCACATTTTCAGCAGACCTCTTTGCCAAGTAAACACCGTCATTTTGTTTGTTTACAAACTGCTGGACAACGAATGTTTTCTCGTCGGAGAAAACCAAATTCGGCAGTTCTCCACTTTCGGCCAAGCGATGCAACTCTTTAGCTCTTTTGAGTCTATTTTCATACTGTTGCGGTGTAAGTTCTTGCACTTTTTGGAATTTCAATGGCTTTACCCCGAGCTCATTTTTCAATATTTGCCGAATGGAATATTGCGATATGTTTAGCTAGCCATTTTTCGGCCACTGCGACACGGGTTTCGATCAAGTCGCTTCTTTACATTTTGGAACCATTCTGCTGATGTTGCTGTTTTCTTCCGTCCTTTTCCTTGACGTTGGGCTACGCTACCAGTACCACCGTAACGAGCGATGGTACGAGACACAAAAGATTTATTCACATTTAAATGATGGAGTGCTCTAACGATAGCCACTTGTGGTTTTCCAGCAGAATGTCTACTATTTAAACTATGATAATATTCTTTAAAAATTTAATTAAAGATTCACTAAAGTCCTTCAAATTGTATGCTCTAAAATGGTCCCACTACAGTCCTTTAAAATATTATTTAAAAGGACACGATTATACATGTGATAGTTCTTTAAAAATATATATTCCCTTTAAAGAAAAAACGATCTTTGAAAAGATCTTCATAAAAATGTATATTTGTGCATAGATAATCCCTGAAAAATATTCCTTAAATACAGTATATGGTCCATGTTGAAATATATAAACTCATATAGCCCTTATAGTTCTTTAATATACCAACATTTTCCCCATCAATTTCATTTTTCACAATTTGATTCGACAATAAAGTCTGTGACGACCTCGAATACACCTACAAGCATGATCTAAGATGTAAGTATTTCGCTGAGACACAAACAAAACGACGAACTAAATATACCCGCAACGGAACAAAAATGTATCAATGGCACCATAACTGATTATTATGACGCCATTAACGAATTTTTTCATGTATAGTTTTCCTGAAATTTCACACCTTCCCTAAGCGTGTAACCTTTTCTGATCAATGAACCCATTTATTCATGACTGCTTGCAGTTTAAGTGTTGTTCGTCTACTTTGGAATTTGATGAAGTAACAACTTCTTCTCACGAAATTTGTTTTTTTTTTTTTTATTTTGTGGTTACATCACAGATTTTGCTAATCAGGGTTCAATTACCAATTGGGGCTAGGGTAAGTAAATAAAAAACTTATGAATGAGAAAATGAGAAACCTTAACAAAAATAGGAGTGGTTTGAACTTGAAACGAAGTTAATTGTTAGATTAAATACCGTCGGTGACCACGACTGAAAAATATGTAAATAATTCTCAATAAAAAATCATAATCAAAGTGTGTAGATAACGTGCATATTTCATGATAAGGTGTTCGGGAATATATCTCTGTGGTTTTATACAGAATTGTCAGGGGAGCCTGAAAATTAAGCTATTTTCACAGATCAACATCTGGATTACGTTCAAGCATAGCAAGGAATTGGACCCGCTCTCAAAATCATGGCATTTTAATTTTCGTAAAACACCCCAAGTATTAAAAAGTATCAGTCGTTTTGCCGACAGATGTATACCCTCAGCCTATGTCAGTTTATTAAAATATATTTTGACTTACATTATGTTTATTTAAAATGGTGTCCCTTTATGGAGGAGATAACGAAGTAGTGGTCCAATATTGTCCACTTCTCCTCTGAAGCAATGTAATAATTAGAAAGAAAATCAGACATCTATAACCAATTTTCGGGAATAATTGTTAATCATAATTTTTGCCTTTTGTGGGGAGGTACAAGAAAAAGTGAGCCGATATATTCCATATTCACGTCAGATCGTTGATTGAAAACAAGTAAGCACTTGAAAACTAGTAACAAGAAAATCAGTAAGTTCGGGCGGGCCGAACTTTGAATACCCTCCACCATTTGGAACTAATTTAGAAATTTTCAAAAACTAAAATCCGTTACAAATTCTGTTAAAATCTTAAAAATACTGAATATAGCCGTCATATTGGGGTCTCTACGACGTGAACTTACGTAGGCTTTATTTGTCATAAGCCATTGCCATATTTCAATTCGAAACTTGAAATAAATGGTGAATAATGTATCTAAAATCATCAAAACACCGTATATAGGGAGCCTCTGTGGGAGAGATACCAGAAGGGGTAAGCCGATATCTATCATTTGTAAAAATATTGAGAAAATTTAAATATGAAGACAATATGAGAGATAAAATTGTTCAAAATTTTGACCCGTTGTGGGGGATGTTCCAGAAGGAGTGGTCCCACATATTCCATCCTAACATCTGGTTTTATGTTGATATAAATATTGGGATACATACTTATTGAAAAATTTGACCCGTTATGGGGAAGGGACAAGAAGAAATGGACCGATATATCCTACCATCACACCAGATCTTGTGCTAATAAAAATATTGGAATATATGAAATTTGAAACAATTGGGCTCTTATTTAACATTTCATAAGAGTTATAATCATTTCAAATTTTGCCCTTTGTGGGGGAGTGGCCCGATATATTCCGCCTTCAAAACAGATCTTGTGTTGGTGGAAATATTGGGATGTGCAATTTGAAGACAATCGGATTCTCATTTCACATTTTATAAGAGCTATAATTGTTCCAAATGTTGACCCTTTGTGGAGGAGGTACTCGATGCAGTGGACCAATATTGGCCATTTTCGCAGCTGACCTAGCACTGACAAAAATATTGGGATTTGCAAAGTTTGTACAAAATCGAATGATTCTTTCTGCTTCTATGAGGTAAACTATTTTCTTTGAACATTCTGGCGTTTTGTGAGGAGGTACCATAAGAAGTGGACCGACACCCCTAGGTCGATTCCAAATGTCCTTTAACGGATTTCGTCCAAAGAGACCTAAGGTCTTAAACATTATTTCGATGAGGCACGTTTTGGCCGTATTAAATGATATATTCCCTCTGTAGCCATATGGCTGATGGTTTAAAAACTCGACTCCAAGAGATGTCAGAAATCAATCAATAATTTGGGTATAGCTTTGTTGATTTATTATATAGTTCGCCTTAAATCGAATTCTTCTTTATTTTAATTTTATTTATTAATTTACAATACTTAAATATGAAGCTACTAGAACACAAAATGAACAAGTAGTACTAAATTGTACTAACTTACTTATAAAACTATTAATGTCTAAGTAGTTTACTGAAAATTGCAACCTTTTTTCTATTTTTTAATGACAAAACTATTTGTCTCTACATTTGAACACAAATATCAGTGTCTGTGATATAGTTAAATCTTACATTAGTGGAGTGTTTATTATGTGTAGCATCTCAGGAGTAAATCTCTATTCATAAGCAATGCATATGTGTTTATGGGAGGGAGCATTGTTTGTGGCACCATCTATAATTGTTATAGCGAGCTGTGAACTGATGGAGATATTTCAATTTCCATTGTAAACATCACTATCTCCCTTGACAAATTTTCCACACACATTTCAGAATTACCTATGACATTTTTTATCCTTTTATAAGGCGTTGTAAAATATCTGTAATCAGTAAACTTGGCCTCACATAACGAGTCTCGTTTGAATCGAAAATCACACAATTTTGACCTTCTGGACAGCCAGAACAAAATAAATTCCTACATACATTTCAAATTTGATTAACGACAATTCTGGAAACGATATTATCATTTTTTGTGAATTATAAATCATAATCATGGTAAGCTTGATCCAATGGGATATTCTAACTTAGGATCTACTTATTTTGCTACGACATCATTCATAGCAAGCATCCTTTAAACAAATTTGAAAGTTTTGTAAAAGTTGATGATGTTTGACATTTTTCCATTTGATAAGTATTTTTCCATTTGAATATCTTATGTCTGACTCGGGATCAGCCGTGTAAATATCAATTTCACATTATTACACTCATCGTTATTATCCTCATGGTCCGACTTAGTATCATTACCTATTATTTATTGGAAATGTTCGGCTGTCTTCAAAAATCATCTCTTCTAATTCGGAGGGTTATTTGATGAGGCCAGACAGTGTTGGCTTATGCCGCGAGCAATGAATTATGATGGTATAAATATACCTTCATATTCCATATAAATGAACTTCACAGGAACATTCTGTCCGACACATTTCCCATATGTCATATGTAACTGGCTGTAATTTTGAAATTAATTTGATGATGGTGTTGTTGAGTCAGTTGTTGGAGGTTTCTTGATTTTAAGCACTGCATTAGTACCTGCAAAGTAAACAATTTAAATGGTACCATAAAAATTGTTTGTTTTAGTGTTTTTTTCCAACCTGGTTACAAACCCAGCAGTTCTTGCTCCTCAAGGTCTCTATCCACGTCATTTGAAACAATACCATCTTCTTCTTCACAAACGACTTCCTCATTAACAAAGTCATTTTCATCTGCCAGATTATGGAGGACACAGCAGGCACTTACAAATTGGCATAATTTCTCGACGCCCTTCAATTTGCAATGATAAAGCTGTCTAAACCTTTGCTTTAGCAGGTCAAATGTTTGTTCAATCCTGACACGGCCTGAGCTTAGATTCATATTAAACTTTTGCTCCTCGCTAGTCAAATGGCCATTATCCACACACGGTATTATGATATTTTTATGGCTTGCATATTCAGAATTGCCAAGAATAAAATATTCTATATTAACGTATTAGTAGTAATATAATATGAGTAAGAGTTAGTAATACCTCACCCCTACATTTATTTCCCAGATTTTGTAAGATTGGAGAATTTTGCATTTGCAAGCTGTCGTGCGAAGTTTCAGAGTATCGGACGACAATGTTAATAAATTTCCATTTTTCATTGCAAATTCCCTGGAGGTGGATAGAATTATCACCTTTCTGATCAGCATTATCGTTTTTGGAACGTGTGGGTGGGTCTATAGTGATGTCTGTTTTATCTATACAACCTATGTGGAAGGAGGAAACAATATATTAAAGAAAAAATAAGTGTTTATTTAAAACGTGAGAGATTTGTATTGATAAAACAAAAACTTACCTATTACACCAGATACACCGCACGTTGTTTGAAAATACTGGCTTGATGCTTCCTTTTCCGCCGCAGTTGGCCATTTTATGACCTGTTGACTCAAATCACTCAAGAAACTGGTAACTCTTACAATGACGCGGCTGACGGTAGAAATAGTTACATTAAACCTATTCGATAGGTCACGAAAACTACACCCTTCGTGACCGGCAAACCACAGAAATATGGCCAAATGGTCGTCACTCGACAACCTCTTATCTGGCCGCAGTTCTTTGTATTGAGCGCTCTCCAAAAATGTTCTGCTTAAAGTGTTGAAAAGTTTTCGAGTAATACGGAAGTGCAATAGGAATTCCCCGTCGGTGTATGCGTTGATGACACTATGCCTCTTCTTGGGCATTACATTTCGTTTACCTGTAAAATGTTGCCATATTACTGAATTGGATAGCAAGATTTTAATTTCTGCAAACAGATATCGACCATTTTAAAATTTTAAAAAACAATGGCTAAATCAAGTCTTAAAATTAGATGAAACAGATTTTATACAAACCTTTTTGGGGTCCAAACCTATTGTTGTCATAGAATGTATATTTAGATTGTAAATGCCCACACAACGTAAGAATCCAGAAAAAAATCCTCTTATGGTGAGAACACATAACACATAGAAGGAGCAAACCATAGACCTAGGGACCATAGTTTGCTCCAGATTTTGCTGTTGCAGTGCCTACAAAAATGCAAAATTTGGACAAATCTAAGAGGTCAGTTCAATGAAATATACATTTGAAAGTGAAACGATCAAGTTCGCCGATATCCAGGATACGAAGCAAGATATCACCCCAATTTGGGATTTGCAGAGTCGGTCAGATTGAAAGCAAATAAACGTGATGAACTTCACTGTGCTTCCATACTAAAATCATACTGGCTAGCTTGTAAGAATAAGCGGTAGAAATGAATAATGCAAAAAATATATATAATTTGGAAGATCATTGCCCGGAATGTTTGCTCCGGGTTTTCTTAGTTGTAGTCCAAAAAGTGGAAAATTTGGCCAGATAAGGTTGATGTGACCGGCAATTCGCAGATCATTCAAGAATACTAGGTCATGGACAAAAACGGGTCAACACAATTATCGTTGGAAAATGTTGCAAATGTGAACAGAAATGGAAAGTCATTGCGCTTAACCCCAACAAAATCTCGAAAGTGATGTTAAAACGATTGGATGATCCCTATGCATAGTTCCCTATGCCTGGCAAATCTGTAGGGCAGTCCTGCTACCGAAGCTAGGCAAGGTTGCCGAAAAAGTGGCTTTTAATTGCTAACTTCACTGCTGTTGTCAGGCATTACTCCCTCCCAGCATCAGAGAGAGTTTCTCAGTAGCCGATCATTATTATAGAGTGCGTAAGCAACACAATACAACAACAGCTTTACACGCCATTTGCACACATATTATGGGGCAGGACTGCCAGAGAAGTACTTGATATATCAAAGGCATTTGATACGATCAGTCACCCCATACTAGATGAGAATGAGGTGCGCAACAAGTTGAAAACGTTTGGTTTTCAACTACAGGTGGTGCTACTATTCCCTGCCCTCTCGACGACGATGAGGTAAACTTTGGCTTAAAATGCCGACATCTGAACCTATTATGAAAGACACTTTCGATCGGTTTAATCGCTACTTAATTGATCAAAACGCTTTCTGCATTGCTTGGATAGAATAGCCAAATCTTTGCTGTTATCTGTGCAAGTTACAGCCTCAATAATTATGTCCACTGACTACTGCAAGGTACAGAGATTACATGGATATCTCATCAAGTGGTCCGGCATGCCGTAGCTAACTGCGATAAGAACAGAGTACGTACAAATCTCTCATACCTAATACAATGTAATCTAAAAGCACGATCTAAAGAAGCAACAACTTCAATTCGTACTGCGCTCGAAATGGTAGCAGAAAGCAGGGCGGCTGTCCGACTTATTGCACAGGACCAAATGACACGTTCAATTGTCCAAACTGGTCGTCCTTTTTTTCATCAGAACGAACACACCTGAACATGCTGCTACAACAACAATAGAGTAATTAATAAACAAAGCTTACATGTTTGATCTCAAAAAAAAAAACTATTCCCATTTTTTCATTTAAAATACTGATTTGACTTTGGCGTAGTTGGTATTTTTCGGTATTACGGAAATCTTGTTTCAAAAAACTAAATTTATTTGAAATTTCAATGAATTCGACTGAAATCCACAATAAAAATCTGCATTTTATCGAGCACTATATGAGGACATAAATAAGTTTTCAATAGAAAGGCCATAAATTGATCTGATTAAATGTATTTTATCATGCATATATGAAAAAAGCAAAGTATTTGTTGTAATCGTAAAATTCAATTCTCATCCCATAGAAACATCAACTACGACAATGAACTCGTCGATAAAAGACAACGCCAACCGTAACAATTCATTAATAAATTCGTTCGGTTTTAACACCGTTTCCCACAAAACCATTTCGTTTCAAACACCCTTTTTATTTAAGACGCTTTTTGCTGTTGTTGTATTGTCTCAAAATCAAAATTTATTAGCATTTTCAATAATCAAATACAAAAAATAATCAATATTGTACAACCAGTTGAATAAACATGTTGAAATTTCAGCATAGAATTTCCAAAATTAAAATAATTAATATTAAAATATAATATTAATTAAAAATGTAATAAATTGTCGCTTAATTCAAAATTTATACAACTACAACTAAATACAAAAAAAGTTTATTCAATACCTGTTACTGCAGGTAAAAAAGGAAGGCAAATTTTAAAGTTAGTAAAAACAATATAATTCCATTATTTTTTCTCAGGATTGCAAGGTGTGATGAGGAAGGGTTCATAAAAAATATTTGTTTTTTTTTTTTGTATTGTGTTGTTTCAACTTAATAAAAATTTCATAGAATAGGATTATAAAGAACTCATTAACGGCATTGGAAAAACAAAAAAAAATTAGAAAAAAAATGATTTTGAACCTTTTGATGGATGGCTAACACAAATTACAATCGTTCGTTCTTTACAACCCTATTCGATTCTAGTTTAATAATTACTTCAGACATACTTAATATATATTTGTTTATATATCTATATTTAAAGTATATGCTATGATTTTGTTTTAGTCCAACATAATTCAGCTGGAATTTCCCTTAAATTAGACATTACCATTGCTGGTACTTTTCTGTTGTTCTTTTTCTTCCGTTACGGGCTGCGTTTCTTCTGTTACAGAAGGATATGCAGTGTTTTGTTCTTTACTAGTTGCATCAATACACGAGATTTCAGCTTCTCGAGTTGTTGTAGGCGTTTGATTAATATCCGTTTGAATGTCATCACTTTCCATAGTTTCATCTACAAGGGGGGTAGATGGTTTTTGCAAAATATCGTCGGTAACTTCTTCGATGGCGCTATCAATACATTTCTCGATGTTTGAGTCTTTTTCAGTGTCTCCTTGAGTTAAATTGTCATTATTCTCAGCATTTTGCTCTGTTGTGGTCATAGTATTAGCAACAGCAGCAGTTATCTTCTCCTGTACAGTGTCCTCTGTTTCTTGTTGTTGTTCCTCTACGCTGCTCTTTCGTTGCAACACCTTTGCAATTTCTTTATAAACATCTACATCATCACTGTCGGCTGCAATCTTTGCTGGTGTTTCTTCCTCACATCTTTGAGATTGTTCTTCTGGGGAAGCATCAACTTCCATTTTAGACTCTTCACTCGTTTCCACCACAGATTCCTTTGATTTTACCAGTTTCTCTATTGTTTCAGTAACTGAAAACTCTTCACTATTTTCCTTGGGCTCTTTAGATGAAGATTCAATAGCCTTTTCGTCGATAGACTTTTCTTCTTCTATCGTTGTTTTCGCCTCTTTCTGTCTTAAACTTTCTGAACTATTTTCTTTGGCATCTGCCAGCACATCATCAGATATTTCAAAAACTTCCATTGCAGTATTTTTCTTTCCATTACCATCTTCGTCTTCGAGATTTGTTTCGGTAATTTCTTTTCGCTTGTGTTCCTCATTTTTCGTTTTTTCTCTGTTGCCATTTTCCTCCTCCTTAGAGGATTTCTCCTCAAGTGAACTGTTCAGCAGATCATCTTCAATAACTAAATGAACTTCCACTGTCTCCTGGCCTGTATTTACCATCATGGTAGTACCATCCGGCGAGCTCTTCACTTTCATATCTTCTTCATTTTTCTTCTTAGCCTCCAATAAGTTTTTGACGAAGGGATATTCATCTTCAGCCCTACTCAATTCCACCTTACATTTCATTTTCAACTTCTGATCATTACGTTTCATTTCTTCCAAACGTTCTAGCTCCATAATGGCCTTCTGTTTAATCAACGTCGGATTTGGTTTGCTGGTCAATTTCTTACGTGGCTGCTTTTTCTTGTGTGGTGTTGAATCGCAACTGCTAAGCGAAGAGCCATCGTTGACATCAACTTCCAACATGCTGGCCAGAAAACTTTGAGCCATACTCATTAAATCCATGTTGTCCTCTTCCTCGCTAGGCACACCCTTCGGCGGCGTTGGGGTTGGGGTTGTGGCGGTGGTGACCGGAACTAGAGGGGGAAGAGGCATTGGTGCCGGGGAATGGCCAACTTTGATTGGAGTAATTTTTGCTGCAGTTGGAGGAACATAGGTACCCCTGGCACTCATAATATTGTTGGAAGCTGATGGTGTTTTTTGTTGGTTCAACAGTAGAGGTGTTATGACGACCCGGCTTTGAGCTATGGTTGTGGATGTTGGTGGCGTAGCTGGTATAGATTTTTGAATTTTAATGAGTGGCTGTGTTTGTGTGGGTTTAGACGCTGCCGTTGGTGTTGCTGTTGGTGTTGGCGTAGGTTCATCATCATCGGAATCCAGGGTTATAAGATCGGTTTTAGGTTCCACAATTTCAATTTCATTATCTTCATCATCACTGGCTTGTTTGTCTGCAAAAAATCAAATATGACAAAGTCAATACACTTTTAGGGATTTGTTATAACTAACCAATCAAGAAAACTTGCACAAACTTTGAAAATTAATTTTTTTTAAGAAACAAAAAAAAATAATTTCCCAAAGAAAAAGGGTTATTAATTATTTTCTTGTTTAGAATAAGTAGCTATCCAGCCACTTCTTTATAAGAGAAAAGTTGTATCCGACAACAGCATTCAATTTGAAGCAATATTCAAATCGACCCGAAGCATTGGAAAGTAAAACCATGTACTTTTTCGTAATTAAAATGCCTTGCGTTTATTGGCTTACAGTTGTAGTATATTCGTTATATTTGCGCACAATATTCTCAAGAATTTTGTGGTATTGGATGTGTATTTTTGAAATATTTATGACTACTTTAGTGAGAGAAATACAAAAAGATTATAAAAATATAAATAATTAAAAATAAAAAAAAAGTTATAATGTAAAATGGCGAGTGTACGAGAAAAGGAGACTAAAGGATAATATCCAATAAACAGATACAAAATATATTAATACAATCTTTAAAAACTTATTCTAAAGTGTGAGAAAAGTTTGGGGAATATGGGGAATGAGCTTAATTAAAATGAGATACACAATTCTAAGAATAATTTAAAAATTCCATATCATCAATGGGTAGGTTTTTGCAATACTGTTCCATTTTGGAATTTTCCGAAATTTCACCGTTTTCACGTCTGTAGCGATAATAGCTGAATTTGGCCAACTGCCAGCGTAGTTTAATCGTCTTGACTTCACCTACAAGTTTGAAAAAAAGAATCGCTTAGATTTGAGTTACAAACAGTTAAGTATAGACCTACGTTTGAATTCTTCCAATTTTGTGGCAATCTCTTGCCAGTGATTATCACGTATCATAATATCATTGTAGTCCGCATTATTTGTATCCCACAGGGCAGGATATTCCCTGACGCACTCCACTAATTTCTGAAGGAATTCTTTATCGTCTGGCATATCTTGTAATTTTGTGGGTGTTGCTTTCAGAGTTTTTTCTTTCTGTTCGTTACTCTTATCGGCATTTGCCTCTTCTTGACCACTATCATGCTCGGAGGTGTCACCACCAGCATCGGATTTCTCTGCCGTTTTACGTTCAGCTGCTTCTGCAGCTTCTCGTTCTTCTTCTTCGGCTTCTTCGTCATCTTCCAACTCAAAACAATCCTCAAAGAGCCCATTATTCTCATTGCGCAATTCACTTTCATCTATCTTATAGAGGAAGTATAGCTTGGCAAGATATTTTGAGTATTTCAATTCAAGATTAGCACGATCTTCTGAAGATTTAATGGTTTTTAAACGGAAGGTTTTATACATTTCATATAAATGTTGCCAACGGTCCTTTATGTATTCGGTGGTTACATCTGGGTACGATATAAAAGTCAAAACTAATTAGAAACGTAAAATTAAAAGAAAAAATCAATTGAATCAAGAGATGAATTAACATACTTAAAACCAAGAGGAATGACAATAAAAACCTCAAACTACGTCAAAAGTCTTTTTCTATAAGATTTTATACACTCGCCGAATTTAGACGTAGGACAGGGTATGGACAGATGACAATGTGTATAGGCGTGTATAAAATGACAAAGGGTATGGATGGATATTTGAGACTTATGACAAAGTTAATCCGTTAGAAAATGGTGGCTGACCCTTCAAGGCATCGAAAGACAGGAGGTATATGGTTATACTAAAATCTAGACATATAACGAGAAACGGGGAGTGCCTTTCGAATCTCCATCTAATATCTCTTTTAACCTTTTTAATGTCTGTAAAAAAGGTATGTTGGGCAACGAAGCGTCTGACTATATAGCCAGGCACTGTTATCCGTCTTCTTATTTAACTGCAGAAATTTTTGTAACCTCCTCCGCTTGCCAATTTGTTTTCACCTCTTGATTACTAATTGAATAAATCATAATTTGTTTCTACTTACTCTCCATTGATTTGGCCAATTGTTTCCAGACAGTGCAACGAGTTTGTTCATCAATTTTATCGGCCTCCGGGTCCATTGATTTTCTCCACAACACTGGATTTGTTTTGACAAATGTTATAATTTTTAAATCTAATGGATCGATTTCAATGGGTTTTATGGCTGGTTGATAATTATGCGGATTTCTTGTTACTGTAACAGCAGAAGAACCACCATCTGCGCCTTTTCTACTGCCAAATTCATCTTTTTCTCGACGTATTAAATTCTTCTCCATCGCATCCAATTGCCGGCGATCATATGTGTCACCATCATCTTCACCACAATCAACGGGCAGCCATTGATTTGGTGGTAAATCACGATTTGCCAAAAACGCCATTGCCTTGTCAAAGTGTCCATTGAAACGTTTTCCATCGGCAATACGTTTTTCAATGCGTACAAAACGTTTGCGTATATTCTTCCAACGTAGCTTAATATTTTCGTTACGATCAAAATGAGCTGCAATTATGCGCCATTGTTTGCGGGTCACCTCAAAGTTGCCATAATCCGGATGTCGAGTGCACCATATTGAGGGATATTGTGACACCAGACGCGTTAGTTTCCGATCATAGGCATGAGATTCTTCATTGCGACGCATGGATTCTTCGGTGCCCTGCATAAAACCACTACCATAACCACCCATAGATCTGCCATAACCATCCTCGTCGTCATCATTATCCATATACGATTCATCGGGCTCTTCATTTTCTTCATTCTCTTGATCGTAGGTCGGAGCAGGAGAATCATCACCACCAGCTAACCATTGATCGCCGCCTTTTGTTGTTTCACCTTCAGGTGCTTCCAATAGACTATCTTCGCCATTTTCATCATCGGATATTTCATTTGATTTACCTTGTCCCAATTCAAATATCGGGGGCAATGGTGATCGTGGGCCATCTTCACCATCCTTGAGATTGGCATGTAAACTTTTGCGATATTCATACACTTGATTGTGAAAACTATTCGAACCAGTATTGAATAAATCAACATCGTCCAACTGGCCATAGCAGACATAATCAACAGCTGAAGGTGGGTGAAGCGGCGAAGTAAATGATTAACCATGAAAAAAGGAGGGAATAGATAATTAAAAGAAAAACAATTAAAAATAACGTCAAATGAGTTTTAATTTCATTGCCTTCAGACATTTTTTCTTTTACTCGATCGTTTTCTTTTCTTTTTTCATACGGCGTGAAGAAAAGAAGCAACGATGCGAGTATTACAACACATGGACCAAAAATCAAGGTGCCATTGAGAGACACATCGTTTTTTTTCTATATATGAGTTAAAAATTCATTAGCAGTTGGTTGGGAGAAACAGGAACTGCATCGAACTACTTCTATGGAGTCCATGCTGGTTATTTTAATATCCAATATTTATTTAATATAGAATAGTAGCAGCCGGAAGTCAATGAAATACAACTCATTTTCGGTTAGTCTTTAATATCTTTTATGTACTTACATTCCGGTTTTGTAAATTATTTTTTATCTTTAGTGAAGCTTTCTTCATTTTTTTCATTAATGATTATTTAACATATTTTCAGAACATCTTGTTTTTCGTATAACACTTAATTTAAGTCCATGTGTAAGAAAAATGACTTAAGACAATGATAAATACATAAATAACATATTTTTTATAAAATTTTAAATTACAACTACTAAATTAATTATGGATGCCATGGGGTTGGAATTTAGTCCTATTCACTATTATGGATCGTACATTAATTCCTAGAATGCAATGGGCCTTAAGACCTTCTAATTAAAGGGTTTCTTACCATGATGGTATTTAAAATCGTACATAAATTGCATTCTGATGAAATGTCAATGACAAAACATCTTGTGTGTGTCCGATGCTTTTGGACAGAAAACCGTCTTCTACTACGTAAACAGTTGGGACCTTCTTTATCCCTTCATAAGGTATATTTTTGCACTCTACATTACTAATGTTCCAACTTCTACAATCCTCCATCTAATGTTTTCAAATTTGTTCATACTGTTAATACAATGGTTTGTAAGTGATGTTTGTGCCTCACAAAGCAAAACCTAAACCGCAACTAAACTTGAAACAAGTTTTTCAGCCGATAGACCTTCCAGACAAAAATATGTTCTTCAGATATAAACCATCTCTTAATTGTGCTCCTTTCCTAGTACTTTCTTTCAGATGCATGCTTTTTCAGCTAGTATCCTTTTGCTTTGCTTCCCTTATTCTACTCTCTCCTTTCTTTCAGAATCACTGTTTTGGATAGTGTGGCCCAATGAACACTTTTTCGCAAAGGGTGTCAGAATATTTAAATTTGTATTTAATATATCATGCGTATCTTTTCCAATACACAGTTTGAACATACCAAAAAACTTATATTTCTATTGTTCCTTGTTCCTTACGGCAAATATGCTTAGTGAGTTTCGAGTAACACAAAACAATAAAAAGGGGCTAAACCCCTTTGAAAATTGTATTCCCAACTTTAATCGTAACTGAACCGTTCCATGCATAGCTAAAACCCAGCATATGTGGTGGAATCAGCCGGTTTGCAATTTCCATTTTCAAAACTCTTCATGCCCATGATATACAGGGTTGCCCATATTCGACGAACCCATGACTCTTTGGGTCCATTCCAATCGACGAAGCTTGTCCGCAGGCAACATTCTTTGCGTCAATTGAATTTTGTACGGCAACAAATGCAAATCAATGCGAATAATCCGTTGAAAAGTGGACCGAGCCATCCCCAACTGCTGAGAACGGCGTTTTTGGGATGTTCTTGGGGAACACTGGCTCGTACGGCAGCGATATTCTCGAACGATCGTCTTGGTCGACTTTTATATGGCCTCTTCGGATTAGAAAAAGCCTTACCAATCGAAAATTTTTCGTATAAACGCTTAATGGTGTTCTTAGAAGGCGCACTTCTCACATTTTTTTATGTTTTAAAAGCACGTTGAGTTTTCACAATTGATTTCTTCTGTTGAATGTAAATTTCAACTATTTCGCGTGGCGTGTATGTCATTAAGCGATGTGACATCTCTGTCAAAAGTTATGGCGTTGCCAGATGGGTCCGTCGAATATGGACAACCCTGTACCTTCCATAAGATGAGATGCTCCTAAATTGAAAAGTCTAAAAGAGATGTGAAACGTCGAATAAAAATCCTGAGAAAAATAAAGATTTCAGTTTGAAAAAATCTAGAGCTATAAAACTGTTGGACATATTTGATATTCCGCTAGGAAATTTAAGGCCAATTTGTTTATCCCCCTATAATCGGACCGTATGATTGCGATTATCGCGTCCCTCCACTGTGTGTTTATAATTTAACATTCAAATACATACAGGGTGAAATAAAAAAACTGCAACCAACTTCAGGCTGCTGTCATTTGTAACCCAATCGTCCGACAGCTGTTAAAATTATTCCAGTGATAGCTCATTATATTGTTTACAAGCGTACAAAAACATTTTGGTGAAAATTTTCCAGAAAAAAATTTATTCCTGATGGAATTCAAGCGTGATAGTGTGATTTCTTTATATTTGGTTGGAAAACCACAAGTGGCTATCTTTAGAGCACTCCAGCATTTAAATGTGAATAAATCTTGTGTCTCGTACCATCGCTTGTTACCGTGATACTGGTAGCCTAGCCCAACTTCAAGCGGGCGACGGAAGAAAACAGCAACATCAGCAGAAATGGTACAAAAAGTAAAGAAGCGACTTGATCGAAACCCGCGTCGCAGTGGCCGAAAAATGGCGTGAGCTGAACATATCGCAATATTCCATTCGGCAAATATTGAAAAATGAGCTCGGTGTACAGCCATTGAAATTCCAAAAAGTGCAAGAACTTACACCGCAACAGAAAGAAAATAAACTCAAAAGAGATAAAGAGTAGCTTCGCTTGACCGAAAGTGGTGAACTGCCGAATTTGGTTTTCTCCGATGAGAAAACATTCATTGTCCAGCAGTTTGTGAACGAACAAAATGATCGTGTTTACTTGCCAAAGAGGTCAGCTGAAAATGTACACCTTCAGTTGGCCACCAGATCTTAAATGCCGGCCATGGTGATGGTGTGGGCCGCCATAACAGCCGATGGTCGCTCTCAACTCGCATCAATCGACCGTGGCATCAGAATAAATCCCAAAATGTTTCCTCGAAAATATTCTGGAGGATGTATTAAAGCCTTGGGCACGCAAACATTTTGGCCGCGCTACCTTGGACATTCCAACAGGAAAAATGTGAAAATTATGGCGTTTGACTTTATTTTTTTATCTCACCCTGTAATTGGCCTGAACAAATACGATTTATTAAAATATTATGATAAAACGCATTAGTAGTAACTAACACAGAGGTATAACGCTCACATATTTCACTTCAGTATGTCACAAAAATCCTTTAGTATCTGAAGAAACAGACAGATTCTAATTCTAATTGATAAGGGAATTGAATTTTTAACCGAATGCGCACTCTTTGAACTCGTGTTCAAATTCAATTATACGAAAGCAAGCTTAAAACTATTGCTACAGCAATTTGGACGTGTTTATCTTCTTATTACCATATTGGTATTGCAAATGTACACAACCTTTATGGATACAGAAAAATCGTTTTTTTTTTTCAAATTTTTCGAAAATGTGAGTACTACAACCACTCTCTATTCGAATAGAGTACTCGGAGTAATAAACAATTTTAAGGCTATGAACAACTCATAAACAAAAACAAAACAAACTTACCTGCTGCCAGTTGGCCATTTTCTAAACAATCAGCATCATTACCAAAGCCAAGATGACGCATATCAGCCAAACATTTATCTTGCAGCCCTTTAAAACGACCAATCGCATAGGTGAGCAAATACGACAAATGTATATAGAGTTCCTTAACTTCCAAATAATTTTTGGCCTGTTTATAGGCATTCGAATTAGTCAATGTTTGAACTTTGTTCGTTAGATGTGTACAAATTTCCATAGCATTGAACACTTGTTCCTGGAGCTGGGTGCGGGCCTGCCCTATTGGAGTATCGGGGAAAATGTGACGCACCATAACAGGACGAATCGGTTGACCGGGGGCCATTTGTGGGGCATTGGGTACGACTTGTGCCTGTGCTGGTATTTGACCATTTATAGCCTGCAATGGAGTCCCATTGTGAGCAATAGCATTAATTGTTGTAGAACCAATGACGTTATTATGATAACGTACCACCTGCGGTTGGCCAGGTGTTTGAATGGCATTCGGTCCCGGATACGGGTGTGCGGTAATTTGCACTGGCCTAGAGGCAATTGTTTGTGGCACCACCCTTTGTTGCTGCTGTTGTTGGGACATTTGTTGCCAATTGGTTGTTGGCGCCTGATTGGAGCCCGGAGGCGGACCCTGTCTCTTGACCTGAATCAGTTTGCCATTGGGCAAACGGAATGTCTCCTGTTGTGCAGCGGAATTCAAATCAATGCGATAACCATTAATGGTATGATACACTGGAGCGGTATTTCCACCCGGTGCAGGTGCCCGCGGACCAATGACAGTACGACGTACAATTGGTGGCTGAGTAGCTGGTCTTAATTTTATGGCAGTATTTCTCAGCAACAAAGGCGGCGGTGCCGAAGTTTTGGGTGTAGAACTGCTCACGCTTTGACCACCAAAGCTGTTCGGCGATTGTTGTATGGATATAATTCTGGGCGATGGGCCGGATTGTGTGGACAAAGGTCGCTGAGGGGTGCCACCATTATTTTTCTGTGAGACGGTAATCTGGCAATCCGGTTCCAACATGCTAAGTAAATCAGGTGTACAAACCACTTCATCATTGTTTTTCGGTCTTTTAGCATTGGGCTGTTGTGGTGAGGGCGTTGTTCCATGTTTTGCAGCTTTCTTTGCTGAACCCGAAGAACCTTGACTACGCTTGGATAACACTGAATCTAAACTTTCCATAGAATCAGACATATTGCCACACTTTGCTTTGGCCAAACGGCAACATTTACTACGGTCACGACGGAGAAATTGATCTAATTCCTGTTCGCTCAGATTCATGGCATAGGCTTCTCTGAAAGCATTAAAGGAAAACATTAATATGAAAGGATGAAAAAACACGGATTTTGACTTCCATCATACTTACTTCTTTTGCTGTTCTATGTAATTCATTAGTGCCCAATGCTGTGCCCTCAGTGGCCACAAGATTTTCGGGGCACAACTGAAACAATTCCAATTTTCATTCTGTTCAATATCGGCCACCACACCACGAGACAAATTCTTGACAATGCAAGATTTACAAAAGACATAGGGACAACTGGAACAGCAATATACCTCGCCACCTTGACCACACCAACGGCAATACAATTCCGAGCCATCTTCGCCCTTGCTAAATTCGCCGCTATTATAGAAATCGTGACATTTCAAACAATGTGTAACCCTTAGAATTGGATGCATTTTAATTCCAGTCTCCTGTACGGGTGCTGTTCCAATATGTGTCTTACATACTGTACAATGAACTTTACGATCACGTACAATGTCCACCGTTGGATAGGCTTTGAGATAAAAACGTTTTTCTTCTTCTGAGATGCTCGAATGGAATTCATAGCTAACAGCTGGAAATGAGAATAAGGAAGAAGATAGTATTAGAGGAAATTGTAAATTTCAATTGTATATGTAAATCAGATTTTGTTTTTAAAGTGTATTAAAAATATATATAAATATTGATTACAGTTATAGACGCTTAAAAAGGAAAGGAATTGATCAGTGTCCAATTCAATATTTTCAAAAACAAATAGGAATACTTTCGACATCAGATGCAAGACTTCAAATTTGACTGCAATTCTTACATTGAGGACAAGAATGAAATTAAATCCCCTGAAATAGGTTTGTCTGGCTACTCTTCCCGCAGGAATTGTCTAGCAACTTCTATCTGAGTGAGTAAGATAGTTTTATTCTCTTTCGCAAGAATACTGTGGAAAGTAAACAGACGGAATGCATGCAAATAATCATCTGATTTGATCAGTTAAAAAATATATTGGACAACCATAAAAAGATGCAAAGCACGCAAAAATATTACAAATTTTTGCCCTTTGTGGAGGAGGTACCAGAAGTAGTCCGCTGCATCCGATCTTCAATTTTTAGATAATCGAACAATTAATTTGCATTTTATAATTGTTACGATTACTTAAAATTTCAGCCATTTGTGGGGGGCACTAGAAGGATTGGAACTACATTCCTCAATTTTACACCTGACTTAGCATTGATGTAAACATTAGGATTTGCAAAGTTTAAAGAAAATGGGATGATCATTTCCCTCTTTATAAGACCTTTTTTCTTGACCATTTTTTTATCGTGCGCGTAAGCCAGACAATCCGATCGACTGCATAGGCCCTAAAACGGATTTCGTCCCAAGAAACCTAGGGTCTAAATCAAATCAAATGATATATACTCTCTATAGCCATATGACTGAGGGTATACAACGATGTAGCTGAATAAGTATAAGTAAGCTATGGCTGAATAAGTAATTAAGTATGGCCGCTTTTTGTCCAAATTCTTCACAATTAGAAGCAACAAATTGTTTTCATAAACATGTAAAAGGGCTTAAGGAATAATGAAATATGAACCAAACTGTTCAATATTTTAATTCGTCTACAATGTACGTTTTTTCGAATCATTGATTTTAAAATCGTTTCGTTTTTATTTTTCAATAGAATAAATACAAATAAAAAATTGGCAGATGCAAAGTTGCCAACTCAAAACAAATCCGAGAATTTTGTACCAAGATAGAGTCAAGCCCAAAAATATTTGCTATAATGATACTCACGACCAAGTCTAAAAATAATAAGCTTTGTCCAAAAATAAATACTTATGGAAGTACAAAACGAAACAAAAATAAATCCCACTGATCTTCATTTGAGCTAAAAAAACAGCTGATTCTTAAAAGACCACTTTAATTATATGCGATCGCTTTGCAGTTTTTAAACAAATTGGAATCAGCTGTTTTGCTTACATCTACCAGGCGTTAGTTAGTGTACTACTATAGGATTTAGAGCACGGTTCCAAAAACTATTATTTTAACAGGTTATGTTCCCTCTAGGAAAATTTATTTGGAAGCTTTGCAACGCTACGCCATTTTAAAAACTATAACTCGAAGCTTTCTATCTAAGGACACAGGCTTTCATTGAAAGCTTCTGCAAAATTATAGCAAATGATAATTTTAGTAATGGCCTTATAGCTGGTTAAAATACAACACTGCATTATGTCAAAAGGTGTGTGTCTATACTAGAATATTACCTAAATTCGCCCGGCAAAATGGACTTGCACGGCACGGCAAATTAATTCGACCGAAATTTAACAAAATGGCAGGCAACCTATACTCTCATTAGATATAATGAAAAAAAAATTACAAACCTCACAAACATTTAATATTGAAATTTAACTAAATATCTTTGTTTCCTATAGAATTAACAAATTTTGGCGCAATTCATATCTAAACGTAAACACTCATTCATTCAACACAAACACAATCATATGAACGTGAACAAACCTTTGCTGCCGTCAGCCACATTGGATGGCGATGCCATTTCTAAGCTGGAGCTCCCTCCAGCTATCGCCGCCATAGCCTCACTCATAGTTTTTTGGAAATGTTCTTAAAAACTAGCCAGACACACAGTTACCGCTGGCCGACCAGGAGTTGGAATATTTTCAACACCTTTTGTTCTTTTTTCGAAGAAATTATTTAATTTTCACTTTCGACTGCCTGTCCGTCCGTCCATCAACAACAAAAAGTTGTTCCCTTTGCCTTTCGTTTGCTTCTTCTTTTCGAGAAAAAAAACCAACAATCAAGTTATCGCACAAACACACACTGTTGTTTAATTTTGCACCTTTCTTCACATAATATTGCTTAACTTTTCTCGATTTTCAATAAAAAATATTTTCCAATTTTTCTTTTATAAAACTATATTTCTTTTGTTTTTCCAAATAATTTTTCTTCTTTCTCTTCTTGTGGCCGCAACAAAAATGTACTGTATGCTTTGACTCTTGGTAGTAGTCGTCGTTCGTTGCGTTGTCGTCATATGCGAAAAAATTATATGTGAACACAATATTCATCAATATGGCGGACGCTTCGTTTTTGTTCGTGCCATTCAAAATATGCTATGCTATGTGTAAAATGCTATACGAGCAAATGACACAGAGAGGGAGAGAAGAGACGAGTACAAGGAATGTGTGGTCGTTGTCATCGTTGCTTGACTGGTCGACGCCATCTTGGTTCAAGAATCGTAAAAATCTTTTGTTGTAATAAAAAAGTGGTTTATAGGTTATCCGGAAGGTAGGTGTAGGTGGTTGGTCACCCATAGTTGTAATTATAGGACTACAATTATAGGCTAATGTAGGATCTTGGTTTTGATCTATAATGAATTCCGAAGCGATCCATAATGATCAGCATTTTTTAAAAAAAATATACTTAATTATTGCAGGTAAAAAATGCAGGCCCTTAGAACCGGATTAAGCGATGGCCTCGTAACACATTCAAAGGTCTATTAGAAGTTACAACTCGCAGCGTAAAGAAGTGAAAGTATAAATGCCAGAATTCCTGAGAGCCTGCCCTGAAAGTAAGTCTTTGACCCCAATAGGTAATTGTTGTTCATTGGTAAGAATTCTTTCCAGGTAAGAATTATAGTTATAAAATTCCAATTGTGACTATAAAATAATCATATCTCCATTTAGCTTAATAATCGTATTTAAAATGTTTTGACTATGTAGTAAAATATTTTTGCAGATAAAATAGAGTCAAAATGGGCATGAATTCACTTTTAAGTATGATTCCGGTTTTGAAAACATAAATGTAAAGCATTTTTCCATTTCACATCGAAAAATAAGAGAGTCAAAGTTTTTTCACTGATCTGAAATTTATTTTCAAAACCCTGAAATACAACTCAGCGTATAGTCCCCGATGCTAATCTGCGATTTATTAGCAGCGGTAACCAACATACTAGCAGAATATTGAAATGGCATAGTTATGGATTTGAAAGAACACAGAACCCATATAGTCGCTCTTAGTAAGGGACTAAACATGGGACTAGCGAAGTGTTCACAAATTATCGATATTCCTATATAAAACAATTCTTGGAACATTAATGATTAGAAATATTTAATTCTTCGCAAAGTCACTAATATCAGAAAGCTGCTTAAATGGGAAGACCAATTAAAGAGAAACGATTTGTTTAACGTGTGGTCATTTTCAAATCAGAGGACTTCATTATTATACGATACTACCGCCACACTCTATAATTGATTCCACACACATGGATAATATCTCATAATTATCGCCAAAAGTTATCCTTCCTATTTTCGTCACATTTTTGCAGAAATCTACCCTAAACAGCTAATGAAAGCAAAGGCAGCCTGTCTTTAATCCAACGTTTAATCTTATGGCATTCTCATATATATTAAAACGCCGTCATTTAAACCTAGTATAAACTCATAGAGAATGGATAACACACACTAATGTATTGTCTATATATCCAAGCTATTACCACGATGTCGGTGTATTTATATAATTTCGTGAAGTTATATTGAAATGAACAGCTGTAATTGTAGAGAAAAAGACCGGTTGTACATACTACTCGTTTGCATCTCATTGTTTTAATACCAAAAAATACATCTGTGTATGGCTATAGCAGTTCAACGATAAAGTGTTATGGTAACACCTCAAATTTGCTTTACTGTTAATATATGTTTACACAGGGTAAAATTCAACATATTTTTTGTTACAAAATTAAATGGAAAAGTACAAAGAAAACAATAAATAAATAATAACGTAAATTAAAAAAAAAAAAAAACGAAAAGCAAAAATTTGAAGAAAAAAATTAAACATTGATGAAAATAAAATATTTAACGTTCTTGGTTCCAAATTTGCGTACTAATCAATAATAAAAATGTTTAAAAAAGATCTGTAGAAAAAATTAGAAATCTGTAATGTGATTATCTAAAGCATTTTTTTAGTTAACGACAAATATCGGTAAAATTAAAAAGCAAAATTATGAATGAATATTAAATACCGGTAATTAAAAATTATTGAAATTTGTTAAATTGTGAAAAATACATATCATTACAGCCTCCGGTTTGCGTCGTAAAAGAAAACATATAAAAATCGACTTATTTTTGGCAAAGCACTTAAAAAATTTTGACATTCTTCTACCATAAAAGAAAGATAGGGTTAAAAATCGAACTAAGTCAACCTTAAACTCCTTTGTTCCTCTACGAAGAAAACACCCGATGACTGTGAAAAAAAAAAAATCGTTTTATGTGTATTTAAATGTATTTTTGCCACATTTTCCACGGATTTTCTACGAATTCGTCTGCAAATAGGTTCCCGTTGTGTATGTCCACCATGTAACGGCCCCACCCACTTTGTTTTTTTTTAAGTTAACTGCATTCTTCAACCGATCTCATAAAGAGAATATATGTTATTATAGTAATTTTTAACAGTTCTAGAACCGAGCATATGTAGTTATTGTTTTGAAACTGTTCATATATTTGAAAGAAAATCCAAACATTTAAATGTTGAATTTTTACGCCGAAGTCACGATTGTAGCTTTAATCTGTTTCACCTCTACTATTGCCCGCATTTTGTATTACGATTCGAATGTGAGCACGAAAGAAAAATATCTGGCTTGCTTCCAATACACATGTTATTGTGGGAGTTACTAAATGAGAACATCACATTAGCTACACGTGTACACATGGCAGAAGAATACAGGTAGATGCATCAACGCTTGGGAGCATTGATATGTCAAATATAAATAGATTTTTATATGTTTCTTATACTACGTCATTTGGAGGCTATTATAATTCGCGTGTGTGTGTACATCAACGTCTAATAACAGCACACTGCAAGTTCTGTCATTTGTCGTACTACAATATTAAAGGAACTACTTGTTCCTCACACAGTTGTATATTTTCGGTCCCATTACAAAGAATTTCCCCAAAAATTCGCAATAATTATTTGTCTATAAGAAACAGCTGATAAAAACAGATATAAACAAAATAGCCGACTGATGGAAGGCTGAAAGTAGCAGAAGAATATTTTAAAAAATCAGTGGTGAAATTGAAAGCAAAAGAAAATAAAAAAACGCTGACAACTAGAAAAGCAAGCGAAAAGAAATTATGTCGGCCACAGATTTTTATGGTTGGGATTTGTTATTTAAAACAATTGCCACACAAATAAACAAAAAGGATGACTTGCTAATTGCATTGGTTCATTTTGTGTTGACGAAGAATTCACAGTTTCGTTGCATTGGTTTGGGGGACGATGTAAGTGGAGTAAATGAAGTTGGAGCAATGCAACTGAGTTTATTTTATGCTTTATTTTTTGCTTAGAAAACCTTAACTAGAGAAGACGAAGAATCTGGTTCAGAACTTTTGCCCGACAATTGGAATGATGATGAGAAAAATTATGCCCTGCGTTATGTTCATAATAAGCAATTGTACTTATTGTTGGGTTTACGCACCGAAGGCTCATTGATTATTACTTTAATGGATGTCAAGTCGCACAAGGTATCCAATATCTGTCTAAATGCCGAAGAATTGGTTAAAGAACTAAAGGGAAGTTTGACGAAAATGATACCAACAGCATCCGAGTTAACAGATCGCTATCGCAAGGAGTTATTGGAACCGGTAAGATACTATCAATTCCGCTTTGAATAGGCATTTGAGGTGATTTTTTGTTTGTCACTATCTTTACCAATCAAATTCAAATTAATAGAGAGGATCCAAAAAGGGCTAACATACATTTTTGAAATAAAAATATGAATCATTTATTTCACATCAATATACGTCTCTTGTCTCCCTCAAGTTTAGTTACTCAATAAAAAAGTCTCCACAAGTGACCATTTAGAATTGGGCTGTACATCTTTAAAATATTTGTAGCAGCTATATATTAACATTTTGTCATTATAGGTATTTTCTGGAACAAGCCGTGAAGTTACAACCCAGACTACAACATCAACATCTAGTCCAGATCATGACCCCTTACGCGTTGGGGAACCAAGACGCCCATTTGGTGGCTCAGACCCAGATCCGCTGCGTATTGGAGAACCCAGGCGACCATTCGGAGGGTGCGTTACGGGTTTAGGATAAAACTTAGCACAAAACTAAATGTTTTTCTCTCTTTCACAGCCCTCCACCATTTGGTTTCCCCGAAGTAGGCCGTGGGGATTTGGACCCTTTGGGCCGTGGCGGTCCCGGTAACTTATTTCCATTCCCGTCACATCCAGAATTTCGTATTGGCCCAAATAATGGACCACGTCCCCGTTTTGATCCGTATGGACCACCAGAACGTGGTATTAGACCCAATCCAAATCCAGATCATTTCCCACCCCCTGGTGGTTTTGGTGGAGATTATTATATGTAAGAGCTGTTTGAAAACAACAAATGGCTACAACAAAAACACTAATTTATAACACGGATAATTTTATAATTGAATGAAGAATTTTTATATTTAGCAGGAAATAAATATGGGGAAATTTCAAAAATTAATTTAATCTTAGAATTTGCAAGAAAATGGCTTTAAGGATAAGACTAAGACTAAGCTTTAAGGATAAGAAGACAGACTTCTTGAAGAAAAGAGTGAATAAAGGTGGCAGCAATTTAAGCTTTGAATTACAACGAAGGATTTCAATTCATAGAAGACAAATAAGAGGCATTTGAAGACATTTCAATGCTTATTTCTGCGGAAGAGTTATAGATCCTTTCTTTATAAGGGCTATCATAATATCAATTCTTAGGTATTTTGTGCATAAAATGTACATTATTTTTTGCTTTTATGCACATTGAAGACACAAAAAAGATGCAAGGGAAGACTTTTGAAGAGCTTTTCTGCGTATAAAAGAACTTTTCAGGACCTTCTGAGTATGGAAGGCCCTTACAAGAAAGTCTTGATACGGCCTTCTCTGTACAGAAAGCCTTTTAATGGTCTTATGTGAAAAGATAATTATTCCATTATCTTCATTGATAAAATATATTTACAAAAAAATGATCTTTATATAGAAAGCCTTTAAAATTTCTTCTTCGTATACAAATCATTCGGTCTTCTGTGTTTAAGATTATTTTATTATTCTATATGCATATGATATTGCATAGAAGGACTTAAAAAAAAATTTTGTATTGAATACTTTTAGAACTCTTTAGATGGTCATTCTATAGAAGACGTTAATTTGGGATGTATAAAAGGCTCATGATCGTAAGATATTGGAATTGCTGTTTTATTGCATTCTTGTACAAATGAAATATAAGGGCTTCTTTTCTCCATACGATGAACACCAAAATTATTGGGTTTACCCAATTATATGTTGTTTATGGGACTAATGGTCTTTAAGCTACATAGGCCCAAAGTCATCGTGTAGATTGTTGGTTCATTGTGTTAATTTACATCTAAAGCATAAGGGCTTCCATTTCTTACACGATAAACACAGTGTTAGTGTTGGCAATTTTTATGTTAAAATGGAAACTGTAGCACTGTAAATGGCAAGAATCAAACACCAGCTAAACTTTAACTACAACTTGGTCAATTTTATGGTTTATGCTGGAGCGAGACGTAATGGTTTCCACCATATACCTTATAATAACCATGACTAAAATCGTATTGGAATACAATATATTCCTCCGATAAAAGGACTATAACCGATTCTACACTTTGGAGAGGACATAATTATTCCATAACGAAATGTGGACTTTTCTATAATCGATCTTGCTTGTCAGTTTTGCATTGAATTTTCCTTTGGTCTATTCGGATGTGTATAACATTATTTTCACAGCTATTTCTTCTGACCAAAGGTACCCACATCACAGGCTATTTAATACTATATTGAAATCTTAAATGTAAAAATCATACTTTGTTACTTAAAGTAAATTTCATGCATTGTATGCTTACCTGGTTGGACCTGTCTTTCGATTTTCTTCGGTTGGAGAAATAATGTGGGAACGGCATCGGGTTGTAGCTTAGTCTTAATATGATTGGCAAAACAGTGGTTCTCGAAATGCACTTGACACACCTTCTCGTAGGAGCATTTAATCTCTCGACCCACCATACCCAATTGTTGTAGCCATACGTCCATATTTTCCAAGTGGAAACTGAACAATGGTACTCCCTGCTCAGTGCAGCCTTTAACAATACAATGGCGCTGTACTGGCATTTTGTTGTGTTTTATTTTTTCTTTTTTGGAACTTTTATTTAGAGTTTTTCAAAGGCTCTGAACTAAAATGGCGTTAGAAAAGGATATTTGGTGGAATTGATGTGTTTGGTTGCAAGGCAGCTTGACCAACAAAGCTGTCTGTCTGTCTGTTCGGTATGTATTTCGACCCGACCGAACGACGGGACTGTAAACTAAACAAACCGGGTGACAAACTTGCATTACCGCAGAATGTGAACACACCTACAATTGTATTTGGCTGGCTGGCTAAATGGCTGTGTAAACAAATACAATGCCGTTAATGAAAGTAACTGTAAAGGAGAAGATAATCGGAACTAAAAACAAAACGGAATTCGTAAAATGGCCAGCAGGGGTTATCAGTTCACTGTGATTGGCTGAAACAGAAACATCTGTTGTAAATGTAACATATAACTCATACTCATGTTGCTGGGTGATTTTACTGATTTTACTTTTGGAAAATTGCTCAGTTCACTGAAATATTGCAACCTATTCTATCGTGTCAGACCAGGAGGAATTAGCATTATGTTAAACATTAAAGATTATGTTATTATTGGCCATAATTTCTGATTATATGTGAATGATTTTATATGTTAATTCTTTAAAATCGGATGAAGATATATATAGGAGCTATATCCAAATCTGAACCGAACTGGATAAAATTTGATCTATGAATTTCTAGGTTGTATCCGATATCTGGTGCTAAATATCAGTCTTGTGGAGTGCATATAACGAATGTAAGGGACTTGAAGCCAAAATCGGATGAAACATATATATGGGAGCTATAGCTATATCTGAACCGATTTTTACTAAATTCGAATCACATGCTTGTAGGCTGAATTCGGTCGGATGTAGCAAAATTAACACCATTTGGATTGGTATTAGCCATTTGGTGCACAAGAAACATAAATTCGGATGAAGATATATATGTGAGCTTTATTTAAATTTAGATCGACCTGCATTTTGTTTACAAAAATACATGGACAGACGGACGGACGGACAGACAGACGGATAGACGGACGGACATGCATAAATCGACTCAAAATGTGAATTTATGATGATCAGCAAAAGGAACTATGGGTCTATCTCGTTTCCTTCTCCATGTTACAAACAAATGCACAAAGACGTAATACCCTTACCACTATGTGGTGTAGGGCATACAAATATAATGCTGAATGGCGTATGTACGTTAAAGCGAAAGTAAATGTTGTTTTCTTCCTCATACGTGGTAGGCCATTTGCCCAAGAGTTGGAATTTATAATATTTTTTATGTATTTGAAGATCACATAATACCAAATGGTACCATTTTAGAAGTTTACTGAAATTTTAGTAATTATCGCAACCTTAAAGTTTGAATTTCCAAAAACACTTTGGTACATGTTTCCTGTACTTCATCGGTGAATATCATTTCACATTTAAGAATCTCAGTTCATTTTATATCAAATTCAGTACCATTTAGTACACATAAGTAAAAATGCCCATAACAATCTACATCATACAATCCAATGGAAATCTTACTTCCCAATTTTCTGGATTCCAGCCCTATCAGTTCACCCAAATCCAAATCCAAATTGTACCAAATATACACATTATTACGAATTAACAGAGTTTCATACATACCCCAAGCTTATACTCCCACAGTAATCCCAATTCCAAATTTCAGGATTCCCCATCGATTCGCCAATATACAAAATGTACCAGATTTAGTACCATGTAGTACATATAAGTACGAATTTTCAAATCATCATTTTCTACATACCCCGATCCTACAATCCCTCAATAATTCCAATTAAAGCTTTTACCGGTTCTCCTAAAATTTAAATTGTAAAAATTGTAGTACCATTTAGTGCACATAAGTATGAATTTTCAAAACGCCCTGCTTACCCAAAAACTACAATGCAATGGTGATTTTATTTCCAAATTTCAGCTTTCCATCTCTGATGTATCACTCACATCGGAACTGTACCGTGTGTAGTACCATTTAGTACACGTAAGTACCAAAAATACCTACATAACGTAGTCCTGCAATACAATAGTACTCCTATTTCCAAATGAAAGCATTCCAGCTCTATCGGTTCACCCAGATCCAAATTGTACCAAATGCACATAAGTACAAATTTCAAAAACTACCTGCATATCCCAATCCTACACTCCAATAATGTTAATGTTAATTCCAAATTTTTGGATTCCTGCTCCATACTTTTCTTTAAATTAAAATTGTACCAAATTCAGTACTGTATAGTACTTTTCGTATATCTGTGTACACACTTTCAAAACAATCTACTTACATCGACACTACTCCTTAATCTTGATTGATAAAGTGCATATTTCGAGGTGTTAGTAACGGAATGACAAACTTAATATACTCTCCATACTTTGGTGGAGGGTATAAAAATATGTGAAGGAAGGGGAAACTTGCCTGCCATATTCAGGTTACTTTGCGAGGTAAACTTTCAAAACGCCCAAAACGCGTGTCCTCAACTTTCATAATCAACAATATTTTCCCAGTAATTATTTTTTGTGTTACATAGTGTTATTAAGCCTATACTCTGCCCCATATCCAGTGACCATCCCGACTAGCTCTTCAAATCGCGGATTTCCAATATATCACAATCTGTCCTCAAGACCTAATAATCTATTTGCTCCTCTTCGATAACAAAGATCAATCATCTTAAAGAACTATTTTCAAATATTTTCAAAATTCTCAATCTCACCTTCTCTCTGCATGCTGACGAAATGTGTATTAAGCCAAACATTTCTTTGTCTTAAATGGAAAGAAAAAGTTCAAGGTCAATGCAGAATGGACAGAAGATTATCGCTAAGCAGGCAGAAATTATCACATTCTGTTCGAAAACAATTCATCTTCAACAATTAACGAGCATCAACGAATATCTTTAGACGTTTGGGCAATGATTAGAATTTAGTCAATTTGAAACTTTCCACAGAGCTTGTTGTTTGCATTTCCATACAGGTTTTCCAGACTAGCTATCCATCCAGAATGGCGTCTCCCAAATGGGCCTTGTTTGTGGCATATTTATGTGTTTTTGGTTACACAATATCGGCTCTGTACACCTTTACCGGGCTGATTGGGGTGCATAATATGGACGAAGATGATGAAGACGTGACCAAGGGTGAAAAAGCTGTCGATGGCAAGGTGGTGGATCCTGACGAACTAACCATGAGTGGCGAAAAACTTAAGCAGTTTAGTCGTAAGTGAAAATACTGATGGAATTTTGAACAAAACTAAATTTTTCACACTTTTTATTGTCTCAGGTAAGGAGATAGCCATATATGTCACAGATCTTGTTAGTGCTGTTATAATGACCATGATATCCATTCTTCTTGTTATGGGCCTTAAGAAGGTATGACATCTCCATGTCACCCTTTTATAAAAGCGTAAATGAGATATTGTTCTTTTTTTTAGCAAAATTACAAATTTGTTGCTCCCTGGCTGGTCTTGAGTTTCTTCGATGTTGTCGTTGACTTGTCTACGATGTTCTTTGAGGAAGAGTCTGACGTTGAAGTTGCTGTCTGTTTAGTGTTTATTTGTAAGTACAGATGATGTAAAGCCAGCTACATAAAATCTAATTCGCTCCACAAAATTCCAGTGTTCATTGCCTCCATGTGGTATCCGGTTTACAAACAATACAAAAAGATGCGTCATCCAAAGGTTGTGGTACCAGAAGCCTCTAAAATGGCTGTGTATCAACCAGGAGAATTTGTCCATTGCACCACTACAATGGCTACCGCACCTGTCCAGGAAGTTTGAGGATAATGAATTGTTATGTCGTCCAAAGATTAATAGTTTTGCAATAAAAACCTTGTATGATATTTTAGAAAAATTTGTTTATTTTTCTTTCGATTGTTGGTTTTCATTCAAACGAAAAAAAAGTATATTTCGAAAATCATTATTTGAAAATTTTCTTTAGATTTGTTTTTTTTTAATATTTGTTTTTTTCTAATTTTGGGAAGATCAGCTTGTCTTCTATAGATGAAAAGACACTTTGGTCGCCTGCATATAAAAACTCAATTTGAAAATGGCGCCCAACGTGAAATGTGGGTCATATTACAGGGGTCATAACTTTCCCCTGCATATAAAAACTAACTTAGAAAATGGCACCCAAGATGAAATATAGATTGTACCGCCGTCTTAACAGTCAAAACTACCAAATAGAAGATAGATAGAAGTCACACATTTTCAATAACATTTTCCTTCATTTAAGAAATTTTCGTCGAATAAAAAAATACCAATGTGCTAAAAAATCTTCTATGATATTGTTGCTGAGATGAGGATAAATATGAATATCAAGGTTATTAGTCTCAAATGTTCTTTATTTAAATCCTGTGGAAAGGATACATTCACGAGGGCAGTTACATTGATTCGATTGCTATGTCAGTATAAAATGCTGTTTCCACATTCAATCATTGCAGCAAGTTAAAAATAGCTGGAGAGGAAAATTTGATAATGGATGCCCAGCATATGTACACGACATTCGCTACACTGTCTCCAGCTTTACGTTAGAGGTAACTTGCTTAGCTTGAGTTCTTTCAAAATTTGAAAATATTTAAAAGTTAGAAAATTCAATATGTCTTTAATAAAGACAGAAGCGATTAGAAAATGGCGCCCAACATAAAATATGTTGGTGATATACCCAGCTGGGTCTTGCCACACGTTTTCAATATAATTCTCATCTGGTTAGCCGCTTATCTATCAGGATATCCTTGGGATCAGCTATCTGACATTCTGCGGTTCTCTTATTAGACATTTTTGGCTCTTTTGGATTTCCAGGACATTGCTCGGTTCACCAACCAAGACTTTCTTCTGTTCACCATCAGGACATTCTTCGCCTCTACTAGCGAGACATCCTTCTGCTAACCTATCAGCACATTCTTCGTCTCACCTATCAGGATATATATCGGTTCACCGTTTTGATCACCTTCGGCTCATCTATCGGCCCATCCTTCGTCTTACCTATTAGAACATCTTTTGGTTAATATATCAGGACATCTTTCGGCCCATCCTTAAGGTCGTCCTTCGGCTCACCTATCAGGACATCCCCTTTTGTTCATCTATAAGGCCATCTCATTCTGCCTACATATTAGGACAGAGGACCTGTAAAAGGATAAATATATTCTTAATTGACAGCCAAAACAGTGGAGTTTGAAAGAATATGTTTTGGGAAAAATAAGATTCCAAAGGCGGGAATTTAAAAACAAATTAAAGGACTAACAGAGTACAAATACCTTTTTTTAAGAATTTTTATTAAAGGACTTTCTGATGCATAGACGTTGATACTTAAAGAATATATCTTTAGAGGAATATCAAAGTCTAAGGAATAGGGATTTTTAAATTTTTACCAAGAGCTATCAGACTCGCGATAGTGGATTTCTAAAGACGACTCCGCGTCTATCAAGAGTCGGCTATCAGAAATTCCTTCATATATCCATAAATACTACCATCTGTTCTTCTATGGAGACCATCTTTTATTCTACCGGGTGAGATAAAAAACTACAACAAATTATGATCTTCAAACGGCCAATGAAACCGTCATACGCTGCTCTGCGGTATTTTGGCCCATTCCCGACCAACCTTGCTTTCTAAAATACTCCAGTCCAACGGATTGGTATCCGGAGATTTTGGTGGCCATTGTGCGCTGAACATGAAGCGAAAATTAAAATGAAGCGACCTCATTTTGTAATCATTCTTGGGTGGCACGTGCTGAGTGCGATGGTGCTGAGTCCTGTTGGAATGTCCAAGGTCTGCGGTCAAAATGTTTGCGTGCCCAAGACTTTAATACACCCTCCAGAATATATTCGCGTTAATATTCGGCATTTATTGTGATGCCACGGTCGATTAATACGAGCGGAGAGCGACCATTTTGTTTGTTTACAAACTGCTGAACAACGAATGTTTTCTCATCGGAGAAAACCAAATTCGGCTGTTCACCACACTGGGCCAAGCGAAGCAACTCTCTAGTTGTTTTGCTTCTATTTTCTTTCTGTTTCGGTGTAAGTTCCTGCACTTTTTGGAATTTCAGAGGCTTTACCCAAAGCTCATTGTTCAATATTTGCCGAGTGGAATATTGCGATATTTTCAGCTCACGAGCCATTTTTCGGCCACTGCGACGAGGGTTTCGATCAAGTCGCTTCTTTACTTTTCGAACCATTTCTGTTGATGTTGCTATTTTCTTCCGTCGACTTCCTCGACGTCGCGATACGCTACCGGTAACGAGCGATGGTACGAGACACTAAAAATTTATTCACATTTAACCCTTTCAGTGTCAATGAAAATTTTTGTCGAGATAAAAATCTGAAATTCCGTACTAATTTACTAAAATGTGCTCAGAAATTCGAAAACGAAACTAATAGAATAGAACTGCAATATTTTTAAATAGCGAACGTGTCTGTTATTAAAAAATATCAAAAATAACGGTTCGTAAGAAAAACAAAAAATGGCAAAGAAAGAGAGTACTTTTAAATGTCAAATATATTTGACAAAAACACTGAAAGGGTTAAATACTGGATTGCTCTAACGATAGCCACTTGTGGTTTTCCAGCCAAATATAAAGAAATCATCCTATCACGCTTGAATTCCATCACGAATAACTTTTTTTCTAGAAAATTCTCACCAAAATGCTTTTGTACGCTTGTAAACAATATGTGAATGAACTATCACTGGAATAATTTTAACAGCCGTCGGACGAGTGGTTTAGAAATGACAGCAGTCTGAAGTTGGTTGCAGTTTTTATCTCAGCCTGTATTCTATAAGGTTTCTTCTGTTCGTCTAAAATAACTTTTATCTCCATAAAGGCTCTCCTCTGATTGTTCTAAAAGAGTACATAAAGTCTATAAAGTCTCCCTGCTTTAAGCCCATAGAACAAATTTTCTAGGAAAATCAAGGAACTCATATTGAAACTATCATTTTTTAATTTTGCTCTTTTATTGTCATCGAATCAATTCAAATCAACATTTTTTGTTTCAAACAGGAACTATAATCGATTTATTTCCTGGCTTCATTACATATCCCTCGTAAGTATGGTCTGGGACCACAGCATTGACTTCGGTGACGTGGGGGCTTTGTTTGGCATAGAGAAAACGTTTGTATTGATAATAGACGGGATACCACATTGCAACAACAAAGACTAGAAAAAGAATGGAGATTAATTAAATTACACCAGTCAGAGTGATTCAAACGGAATATACTCACTTGTGGATGCAATATACACACTCGATTTCTCCTTGGGGGTTTCGACGAAGAAGTTTATTAAAATGTCGTAGACCGCATCGAGTATCGAACAGACAAGCCATGGTAAGAAGTAAGTATGTTTTTTCTAAAGAAAAATTTGAGTTTTGGTAACATTTTTAAGAAAATACACACAAAGATGAGAGAACTCACCTTAATGACACCCATCATCAGCATATTGGAAGAAATAATCATGGCCAGGGCGAAAATCAGTAGGACCGTGTGGTAGGAGATTAGGGCCGCTATATGTATCAATATGTGAATATAGAAAATATATATTTTTCGGTTCTTCATCATCTTTGTTACTTACACTTCACCTCCGGTGTATACTCATTAGTGTTGGTATCGGGATCCACAACATTTGTTCCATTTCCCTTTCCCACAGAAATGTGGATTTTATACAAATCTACAGTATTGTCTATACCGAAATACGTAAATATACAAATATATAGCAGAGCTACAACAAAAATCCAATTGCTACAATGACCCATTGTGAACCAACGATTCGAACAGATGGCTTAGCAAGAACTGAATTTAAAACCAAATATTTACTTATTTTTTGAAGAATGTTTTTAGATTCAGTGTTCATACATTCGTATCAGAGAGTTTGACCTAACGCTATCTCATAGGTAACCATCCGGATCATCAAACAAACTAGATTTGTTAGGAAACCGTGTGTTATATTGTTATCAGGAGGTCAGTTTAAGAATTGCAAAATGCCTCAATTCGGTGGCATTCATCAAAAATGTGGACTTGAATAGCTATAACTCTTGTTGGCATGATGGGCTTGTTTACAAAATAATTAAACGAATAAATTAAATTATATATTTTAATATTTTTTTTAAAATATTTTTAAGAAATATTAGGGATTCTCTAACTCATTTATTAAGTTACCGACAAATATTGGTAGAATTAGAATGCATAATTATGCATAAAAAAGTTTAAATTAAAGTTGGCAGTCGCTATCAATAGGACTTAGCGACTTTTTTATTTTGGTCGCTAACTTGTAGAAATGTTTCCTTGGTTACCGAAGTTATAAGCATTCTAATTTTTATCGATTTGTAACTCCCACTAAAGGGCAAAAACGCAACATTAGAGAGAATATTTTGAACTTTTACAGACAAAAACAAGTAATAAATAAGCTAAGTTCGGCCGCGCTGAACTTTTAATACCCTTCCCCCATTTGAAGGAACTTGAAATTTTTAAAAAAAAAAAAAAAAAAAAAAAATCCGTAAAAATACAACTTAAATGAAACCCTCTATATGGAGGCTATACGAAGACGTATCCTTCATAAGTAATTTTTGTCATAGGCTTTAAAACCCATTACGAACTTCATTGCGAGATTTGAAACAATTCTGGGGGATAAAATCATCAAAGTATCGAATATCGGGAGGTATCGTTATGCGGGGCTATAGGAAGGCGTGGAACTGCATACGCGATTTTCTGTTATAGGTTGTAGTATCCATTACGAACTGTAAATTCAAAATTTGAAACAATTCTGGTAAAAAAAATGTCGCTAGAATCATCAAAATACCGAATATTGGGAGGTACTATACGTAGACATGGACCTGCATGGACACTTTTTATACGCTTCACCATAGTATGGAGGGTATGTTAAATTTGTCATTCCGTATGTAAGACTTCAAAATATACATTTTAGACCTCACAAGATTATATATTCTTGATCAGAATAAAATTCTATGTCGATTTAGCGATGTCCGCCCGTCTGTCCGTCTGTGGAAATCACTCTAGCTTCGGAATGAAATGAAGTAGGCTGATAAAATTTTACTCAAATATATATTATGTCTGCAGGACTTTTGGTATTGGTCCATGTAGGTCCACGTCTTCGTATAGCCCTCTTATATCGGTACCTCCCGATTTTCGGTATTTTCATGATTTCAGCGACATTATTCATCGGAATTGTTTCAAATTTGGTATTTGAGGTTCGTAATGGATACTGCAGCCTATGACAGAAAATTGTCTATGCAGGTCCACGTCTTTGTGTAGCCACCATATGACGGTACCTATCGATATTCGGTATTTTGATGATTTAAGCGACATTTTCACCGGAATTGTTTCTACAGCTTAAGACAGAAAATTGTCTGTGCAAGTCCACGTCTTCGTATAGCCCCCATATAACGGAAACTTCCTGATATCCTGGACTTGAAAACAGACCTGCATCAGATATACTTTGTGGGTGTCTCTAAATTTTTCGTTTTTTGCCTTTGTTTTCTACCATAATGATTCGCTGCAATTTGAAATCCGGTAAGTTGCATTCAAGATAACCTAGCCTCAGTTCTAATGGGGTCAAATGTAGAAAAAATATATATTATCAGAGTACATTAAAAAAACAAACGAAAAGAACATTACTTTAAAACTCTGCCATCAAACTTAGTTATTCAACGTTCATCCACAGCATTGGTTTAGTTCTTCTCCGGGCTAGAAAAAATTTCCAGCAATATGTCGCCCAGGACTTCTTGGATCTTTTCCATAGGTGTTTTCTATTCGTGCATATTCACCTATTTGGGTCTACATCATTTCATCAAGATATGTAGCAAATCTACGATAAATTTGAAAAGTCTGACGAAGATTCGGTTACCAAGGATTTTGTGACTTTTGTAAAATGTAAGTAAAGGCATTTACATGAAAGGAAGTTTTTGAATTGTTTCTGGCTTTTTATAGCTGGAGAGGCATCGTATCATGCAATGTCTTTGATTGGTACAGTCACAATGGTAATTTCTTCGCTTATGCTGATGATAGGTGTGAGCAAGGTAGGTACCTACGAGATATCTTCAGACGTCAAGGCCCTAAAAACAAATATCTTTTCTTTTTCTATAGGACAAACATAGCTTCTTTGTCCCCTGGCTTATATGTTCCTGGCTGAATGTAATCTACGATATTTTGGCCACATACTTTATGGCATACTTCGAAGAGAGATCGGAACTGTATGTTTTGACTACAGGTGAGCATCACATTATTGGAATCATGTTAATGTTTCCGTATCCCTTTTCAACGAGAAATTTTATATATTTTTTAGTTTTCGTTATTGCCTTGTGGTATCCGGTGTATTACCAATACAAGAGTCTGCGAATGTTTAAACATAGACCAGTTGTCATTGCAAGTTCCCTGGAAAAGGTTGGCAACTCAATGCACTCAAAAAATCGATCGGTTATTGAGCCCGTTTAAAAGAGCTTTGAAAAAAATATTGAATAATGTCGAAATGGACAAAATAAATTTTGAATGAAAAAATGCGTGGATTATTTTTATACACTACACCACAAGGTGGTCATTTGTGCATTTGTTTGTAACAGGCAGAAGAAAACGAGATAGACCCATAGTTCCTTTTGATGATCTGCATAGAATCACATTCTGAGTCGATTTATGCATGTCCGTCCGTCCGTCTGTCCATGTATTTTTGTAAACAAAGTACAGGTCGCATTTATTGCCCGATCCAGATGAAATTTTGCAGAGATCTTTTGTTTGGCCCAAGGACGAACCCTATTAAAATTGGAGATAATCGGTCAAAATTTAGATATAGCTCCTATATATCTTCGTCCGATTTCCCTTTTATTGTGCACCAAACGTGTAATATCAGCCCGAATTGTATGGAATTTTGCACATACACCCAAATTAGGCCTGAAAATATGTATGGCAAATTTGATCGAAATCGGTTCAGATATAGCTATAGCTCCCATATATATTGTTCATCCGATTTGTTATTTTTGTCCACCGCCGCCGTAATATGTACTATGCAACAACAATATTTGGGGAAATATATCAAATACAGTTCAGAAATATATTTGCTAAATTTTATCGAGATCGGTTCAGATTTAGATATAGCTCCCATATATAACTTCGTCCGATTTACCTTTTATTGTGTACCAAACGTCTAATATTTGTCCAAATGGGATGGAATTTGGCACTTACGACCGAATTGAGTCTAGAAGCTAGTATGTCAAATTTGAAGATCGGTTCAGATATAGCTATAGCTCCATATATATTATTCATCCGATTTGTTATATTTGTTACCCATAACCTTAATATGCACTCCGTAACAACGATATTCAGGGAAATATATCAAATACAGCTCAGAAATATCTTTGCCAAATTTTATCGAGATCGGTTCAGATTTGGATATAGCACCCATATATATCTATATCCGATTTCAAATTAATTGTGCACCAAATGGGCAATACAATTCCGAATTTAAAAGATGCAAATGCTTCGGCATATTTAGTCCTTTGAACTTTAATTTATATTTATAATCATAACGTGTATGTTTGAATTCTCCCATAAAAACTTTTAATTGTTATTTGGAGGTCTACTTAATTAGCAAAGTGGTGTAGGGTATCATAAAGTCGGCCCCGCCCGACTTTAAGACTTTCTTTACTGGTTTAAAATGGATGATTTCCTTACATATTTTCTGATCTCTCGATATTTCAAGGTAGGTCTGCCGATCTTATAAAGGAATATCTGTCGATATTATGAATAAATTATCTTCATAAGAGGTCTTATGAAAAGTATAGATCTTCTAATCGATCGGGAGATCTTTTTATCTACATAGAAATGTTATTGTTAGAGATCTATGTCATTTCTCAGATAGATGATCTGTAGATATTCTCAAAGAAGATCTTCTCACATAACATCTGCAGATCTTCTCGATGAAAAATTTTCGATCTTTTCGGGCAAGTTTTTTTGCTTTTCTTCTGGAAGATAGAGATGCCTTCTCATAGAAGCTAGCGACATCTTCTCATGAAAGATTTTTAGATTTTGTCGTAGAAGTTATTTAGACGTAGCTCATAGATGATAGGGAGCTCGTTCATAACGTCTTCCTGGGCACCACGTCGTATACACCTAATCCTGGCCTTTAGCAAGTCTATACCGACTCCCTGGCTGTCAGCTCACCCGTACAGATAGCTCGTTTGCACCTAGCCTTCTAGAAATGTTCTCGTGAAAGATCTAGATTATTCCGCAGATAGATGATCTGTAGAGATTCTCAAAGGAGTTCTTCCCACATAACATCTGGAGATCTTTTTGAAGACACAGTTTAGATCTTCTCGGCATGATCTTTAGTTTTTCTTCCAGAAGATACAAATGTCTTCTCATAGAAGCTAAGGACATCTTCTCATGGAAGATTTTGAGATTTTGTCGTAGAAGTTACTTAGAAGTATCTGATAGATTTTCGGGAGCTCGTTCATAACTTCTCCCTGACCACCTCGTCGTCTACCTGGCCTTTAGCAAGTACAGATTGTCTGTACCTTAGCTTGTTTTTACCGAGCCTTTAGCTTGTTAGTACAGAATGCCTGGCTTTTATCTCATCTAAACCGACTCTCTGACCAGGAACTCGTCTATACCGACTCTCAAGTCTGCAGCTCGTATATACCGACTATCTGGCCTGTAGCTCGTTCATACCGTCTCCCTGAGCCTAATCCTTTGCCTTTAGTTATTCTACACAGACTGCCTGGCCTTTAGCTCGTCTATACGAACACTCTCTTGCCTGCAGTTCGTTTATACCGACTCTCTGGCCTTCAGCTCGCCCGTAGAGACTGCCTGTACTTTAGCTCGTTTGTAACGAGCCTTCAGCTCGTCTGTGCAGAAGCCTGGGCTGTAGTTCGTCTAAACCGACTCTCTGAGCAGCAGCTCGTGTATACCTATTCCATTGCCTTTAACTATTCAATACAGACTGTCTGTCGGTCCTTTCATGTTTTTGTTTTTTATACCCTCCATCATTCTATTGAGGGTATATTAACTTCGTATAGCCCCCGTATAACGGTACCTCCCGATATTCGGTATTTTGATAATTTTAGCGACATTATTCACCGGAATTGGTTTCAAATTTGGCATTTGAAGTTCGTAATGGATACTACAGCCTGTGACAGAAAATTGTCTATGCAGGTCCAGGTCATCGTATAGCTCCGATATAACGGTACCTTTTGAAGATGCTACATAATACCCATTTATAATATGGTAATGGCTTATAACAAACAATGCCACGACGTATAGACCCCAATATAACGGCTATATTTGGCGTTTTTAAGATTTTAACAGAATTTCTAACGGATTTTATTTTTTGAAAATTTCCAAATTAGTTCGAAATGTTGGAGGGTATTAAAAGTTCGGCCGGCCGAACTCACTGCTTTTTAACTTTTTTCCCATAACTTTATAATGTTTATTCGACACACTCAAATGTTTTTAATCTCTCGCAACCTTGACCTAATGCAATAACGAAAACGTTTCATTGATCTTCCATGCGAGAGTAATCAGCCTTGGCATTGCTACTTTGAATACATCTTTCCATGACTGGACAGAGATTATCTCACAAACTATATTATGGTGAATACTTATACGATATGTTAAAAAATGTGGACACTCCAATGCATTTCAATGTAACCACTTTCCGGGACCCTGTAATTCCGCAGAGAAAGCTTTGCACATTTGTCCGCCCTCTGGAACTCAACTGATAAATAGAATCATAACGGATTTTCAAAAACAATCTCAGCATTCAGAAAGAGAATCAATTTATAAATCGATCTTCAGTTTTATTCGAAACCGCTGATAAGAATGTTCGCTATTCATTGAAATAGAAAGAAGCGTGTTCGTTTTTTCTGTGAATAAGATTTAATTTCGCCATATTAAAAAAATAATACAAATAAAAACAAAAGAAAACCAAACAAACAAACATGCCACCAAAATTGGCCACGAGAGTTGGCAATAAATCGCCCTGGTTTTGTGTGGCCTGTGTCATGGCCATTTTGGCCATTATTATTTATGCCTGTCTCACCGCGTACAATGTCACAGGCCTGTTGATATATTATCAAATAATTGAAGAACAAACCAAAGATACGGATCCAGATGTTTGGACAAATGAGCTAAGAGCTCTACTTAAACACATTAGCGGTATGTAGAAAAGATCATTCGAAATCCATTGTTTTTTTGTTCGAGATAAGGAATTGATTTGAGTACACATACACTCGTATAGAATTTATAGAGAACATCATACCAAAATATTGGGATTGTTTGAAATTGTCTTAGGACCATGGAGGGGGTTTACTTTAAGGGCTTGAGGGATAGCAGAATACGAACGAAAAGGTGTTGAAAAGCTAGGGAGTCGGTATGGACAAGGTAATGGTCAGGGGTCGGAATAGACGATGTGATGGCCAGGGAGTCGGAGTAGACGAGCTGAAGGCCAGGGAGATGATATAGACGAGTTTCTGGTCAGGGAGTCGGAGTAGACGTGCTGAAAGCCGGGGAGTCGGAATAGATGAGCTGCAGGCAAGGGAGTCGGAGTAGACGAGTTGCTGGCCAGGGATTTTGAGTAGACGAACTGATGGGCAGGAAGTCGATATAGACGAGCTGAAGGCCAGGGAATCGGTATAGATGAGTTGAAGGCCAGGGAGATGGTATAGACGAGTTGCTGGCCAGGGAGTCGGAACAGACGAGCTGAAGGCCAGGGAGTCGGAATAGACGTGTTTCAGGCCAGGGAGTCGGAATAGACGTGTTTCAGGCCAGAGAGTCGGAGTAGACGAGCTGATGGCCAGGGAGATGGTATAGACGAGTTGCTGGCCAGGGAGTCGGAGTAGACGTGCTGAAAGCCAGAGAGTCGGAAAAGACGAGCTGAAGGTCAGGGAGTCGGTATAGACGAGGTGATAGTCAGGAAGTCGGAACAGACGAGCTGAAGGCCAGGGAGTCGGTATAGACGATGTGATAGTCAGGAAGCCGGTATAGACGAGCTGCAGGGTAGAGAGTCGGTACAGACAAGTTGTAGATTAGGGGTAAACAAAGACAAGAGAGCTGCGCGTCGGGATTCCGTATGGTAGGGAGTCCCTTTTGGCATTTAAATTTATAAACGCTTTGAAACGCGTCAAGGTAGTAGAAAAGAAGCTCATAAAAAATCAGTTAGTATATCATCATTTTAATCTTCCACCTTTTCTACCTTATTCATTTTCCAGCAATTAATCTATATGCCAACATTGCCAGCCTTTTCGTTTACGTAGTCATGTTAATTCTATCGGTGCTAATGATAGTTGGTTTGGAAATGGTAAGTTCTATGCAAAAAGATATTCCCAAAAACTCAATTTAACACAATACTGAAATAACGAACTCTCTTCATAGAAACGTCATCAATTCATTTCACCATGGCTAGTGGCGGGCTGCATTATGGTTGGTTGCGGCTTCTGCCTGAACATCGTTACATCCCAGAGAGATAGCCTCTTGGATTACATTGTGATGGGTAACTTGTTTTGGTGTGAATTATTGTTATTTGAATACATGTATCTTTTATCAAGGCCTCCAAATATTTACGTGGTTTCCCGTCTATACCTATTACAAAAAGCTTCGCCCGACACGTTACTGGAAACAATACGGATTTATTAACGTCTATCGCGTCTGGGATCAACCGGAGAAATTTCATCAATGGCGTGGACAGTTTCCAATTTTTTTGCCAAACAAAAGTTGCACATCTGAGGGAGAAATAAAAGCTTAAATAAAATTGTGATTTTTATTTGTAAATTATAAAAAAAAATAATGAATTAAATAAATTTTTCTGAATGAATGGCATCCCTAAATTATGGGTAGTAATGTCACTTCGGCAAATTTTGTATGGGTTCTCAGGTGTGGGGAAAAATGCTCACTTTTTCGAATTGGTTTTTCTATCTAAAGGAACGCCTCATATGTTCCTTCCGATACAAACAAGGCATTGGTTACTAATTTTTTCTATAGAAAATAAGACTCATTTCTTCTCAAAATTTAAATTGAAAATATTATTGTATTACTACTCGCCTGTGCTCCGGCTCTCTTTCCATTGATAATAATATTATTAATTTTTTTTCAAAACAATTCAGTTTAATTCATAAGAAAAACTAATCTTTAGTTTGTTTTGAGACGATTGTTTAGATTGATCGCCGTAACGCTATACGTTCGAACGTTTAAACGAATTTTTGTGTTTAAGGCTTATCATGTTATCATCGTTTCGAATTGTCTTCTCGATTGCCATCTATACGACGGTAATGTACACGCTGCTGCTGATCCATAATGTGGTTCTTATCAAAAACTATCATGAGAATATAAAAAATGCGAAAGAAATGGATTATACGTCATATGAAGATGATAGCGATTATGATGGTAGTAGACTGAGGATGGATGAATTTGAAGGTATGTAGGCTAACTGAGGCAAATTTAGGACCTTTGTCTTCTAAAGCATCAAATAATGAAGGAGTTTTAAAGACTTTTTTAAAAAGTTTCGCTAACAAGAGGCAAGGGTGATATCGATTTGTAATATGTATAAATTTGTATACAGGGTGAGATAAAAAACTGCAACCAATTTCAGACTGCTGTCATTTCTAAGCCACTCGTCCGACGGCTGTTAAAATTATTCCACTGACAGCTCATTATATTGTTTACAAACGTATAAAAGCATTTTGGTGACAATTTTCCAGAAAAAAAGTTATTCGTGATGGAATTCAAGCGTGATAGTGTGATTTCTTTATATTTGGCTGGAAAACCACAAGTGGCTATCGTTAGAGCAATCCATTATTTAAATGTGAATAAATTTTTAGTGTCTCGTACCATCGCTCGTTACCGTGATGCAGGTAGCGTAGCCCAACGTCAAGGAAGTGGACGGAAGAAAACAGCAACATCAGCAGAAATGATTCGAAAATTAAAAAAGCGACTTGATCGAAACCCGCGTCGCAGTGGCCGAAAATTGCTCGTGAGCTGAACGTAGCGCAATATTCCATTCGGCAAATATTGAAAAATGAGCTCGGTCATGAGTCATTGAAATTCCAAAAAATGCAAGGACTTATACCGCAACAGAAAGAAAATATACTAGAAAATAGAAGAGCTAAACAGTTGCTTCGCTTGGTCGAAAGTGAAAATGTGCACCTTCGGCTAGCCACCAGAACTCAAACCCCGGCCTTGGTGATGGTGTGGGCCACCATAACAGCATATGGTCGCCCTCCGCTGGTACTAATCGACCGTGACATCAGAATAAATGCCGAATATTATCGCGAAAATATTCTGGAGGGTGTATTAAAGCCTTGGGCACGCAAACTCTTTGGCCGCAGTCCTTGGACATTCCAACAGGACTCAGCACCATTTCACTCAGCACGCGTCACCAAAGAATGGCCACCAAAATCTCCGTATACCAATCCATTGGACTATTGTATCTGGAATATTTTGAAAACAAGGTTGGCATTAAAAAATACCAAAGTGTTGATCACCTCCAGCAATCGCTTCGCCGGGAAAGGGCCAAAATACCGCAGAGCAACATTCGGGCAGCGTGTGACGGTTTCATTGGCTGTTTGAAGGCCATAATTCGTGCCAAAGCTGACCAATTTAAACAAATCTAAACTTATTCTAAAATTTGATGCTATTTCTAAAGTTTTTTGCTTTCATTCAATAAGATTTAAAAAATAATGTAAAAATTATGGTGTTTGACTTTGTTGCAGTTTTTTTTTTATCTCACCCTGTATATTGTTACTAGATGTTGTTCCTTTATCCAAAAGCCCAGTAAGTGAGAGAATTTGAGAGAACAATTTTAACATTTGTGTTACTGACTGTTTACAAATTCTTATTGAGAAAATTTCGATTGTTTTGTAAACAAACAAATTTGAGTCTTTGATACAAAACGGATACCAAAAGTACTAAGCGGTACTAAATATGATACAATTTGAATTGGGAGAAACAAATAGAACAAGAATCCCGAAATTTGGGGCGTAGAATTGGGAGGTAGGTTGAAGATAGTTTCTGAAATTCGTATTTACGTGCACGAAAAGTACTAAATGGCACTAAATTTTGTAAAATTTCGTTTTGGGTGAGTCGAGATATCTTTAATGTTGAAATTCGGAAATAAGATTATTATTGCATTGCAGGGCTAATGTATGTAGGTAGTTATGGAAATTTGTACTTATGTGTACAAAATTGTACTAAATTTTAAACAATTTGGATTTTGTTGAACCGATAGAGCTGCAACAAAGTAAAACGTCATAATTTTTACATTTTTTAATTTTATTGAGTGAATGCACAAATTGTCGGAAGTAGCATTAAATTTTGGAATAAGTTTAGATTTGTTCGAATTGGTCACATTTGGCACGAGTTATGGCCTTCAAACGGCCAATGAAACCGTCACACGCTGCCCGAATGTTTCTCTGCGGCATTCTGGCACATTCCCGGCGAAGCGCTAGCTTGGTATTTTTTAGTGCCAACCTTGCTTTCCAAAATACTCCAAACATAATAGTCCAACGGATTGGTATACGGAGATTTTGGTGGACATTGTGCGCTGGAAATGAAGCGAGGATCCTTATTTTATTACCATTCTAGGGTGGCGCGTAATGAGTGCGAAGGTGCTGAGTCCTGTTGGAATGTCCAAGGTCTGCGGCCAAAATGTTTGCGTGCCCAAGGCTTTAATACACCCTCCAGGATATTTTTGCGATAATATTCGGCATTTATTCTGATGCCACGGTCGATAAATACGAGCGGCGAGCGACCATCGGCTGTTATGGCGGCCCACACCATCACCATGGGCGGCGCTTGAGTTCTGGTGGCTAACCGAAGGTGCACATTTTCAGCTGGCCTCTTTGCCAAGTAATCACTATCATTTTGTTTGTTTACAAACTGCTGGACAACGATTGTTTTCTCATCGGAGAAAACCAAATTCGACAGTTCACCACTTTCGGCGAAGCGAAGAAACTCTTTAGCTCTTTTGAGTCTATTTTCTTTCTGTTGCTGTGTAAGTTCTTGCACTTTTCGGAATTTCAATGGCTTTACCCCAAGCTCATTTTTCAATATTTGCCGAATGGAATATTGCGATATGTTCATCTCACGAGCCATGTTTCGGCCACTTCGACGTGGGTTTCCATCAAGTCGCTTTTTTACTTTTCGAACCATTTCTGCTGAGGTTGCTGTTTTCTTCCGTCCTCTTCCTTGACGTCGGGCTACGCTACCAGTATCACGGTAACGACCGATGGTACGAGACACAAAAGATTTATTCACATTTAAATGCTGGAGTGCTCTAACGATAAGTACTTGTGGTTTTCCAGTCAAATATAAAGAAATCACACTATCACGCTTGAATTCCATCACGAATAACTATTTTTTTCTGGAAAATTCTCACCAAAATGCTGTTGTACGCTTGTAAACAATATAATGAGCTGTCACTGGAATAATTTTAACAGCCGTCGGACGAGTGGCTTAGAAATAACAGCAGACTGAATTTGGTTTTTTCATCTCACCCTGTAGTTCTAAATTTAGTATAGAGAGAAGGAATAGAGCTGGAGTCCCCAAATTCGGTGTAGATGTCACTACTGGTGTCTGTGGTTAAGATATGTAGGTGGTTTTGGAAATGCATCCTATATTTGAACGAAAAGTACTAAATCTTACTAAATTTGGTATTGGGAGAAGGAAAAAGGCTGGAGTACTCACAAATTTGATTTTGAGGTCTCTGTTGCTATCAGTAATTGAAATGTGGACCTGGTATACGAAAAGTACTAAGTGGTATTAATTTTGGATCACTGTTGGTGTCTAAAATGGATGATGTAGAATATTATTCGGGAATTCAGAAATTTTTTATTGAGGTGCTTGTTGTTATATGTGATTGAGATATATTTGTTGTTATATGTGAGATATGATATGGAATTTGTACTGGGTGTAAATTCTCAGCTCTATTCTGAAATATGATATGGATGTCACAAATGGTACTACAATTGAGTAAATTTAGTAATGGGGGAAATTGCAAGCTGAAGGTAAGGTCACTATTGCTATCTGAGGTTGAGATATGGAGATTGATTGTTTTATAATTTTAAAGTGTGTACTTTAACACTACGTAAATAACTAAATGCTACTCATTTTTGTATTGACTGACTTTTGCCGAAATAAAAATTCTTCTACGTAACATAACTGAGCACTTAGCACAAAATACATTTCCTTTGAAAACTTGGATGGGCACACTCAATATTTCCTTGACTTATTAGTGATGCAAAAGGTGGCTTGACTACTTTGGAATGCCAAAAAGTTAATTAATATTATCTTTTTATACCCTACACCACAAGGTGGTCAGGGTATTATGTCTTCGTGCATTTGTTTGTAACAAGCAAAAGGAAACGAGATAGACATGTAGTTCCTTTTGATGATTTGCATAGAATCACATTCTGAGTCGATTTATGCATGCCCGTCCGTCCGCCTGTCCATGTATTTTTGTAAACAAAGTACAGTTCGCATTTATTGCCCTATCCAGATGAAATTTTGCACAGATCATATGTTTGGCCCAAGGACGAACCCTATTGAAATTGGAGATAATCGGTCAAAATTTAGATACAGCTCCCATATATATCTTCGTCCGATTTGTTTTTTATCCCCTGCCGTAATATGCACTTTGTAACAACAATATTTGGGGAAATATATCAAATACAGCTCAGAAATATCTTTGCCAAATTTTATCGAGATCGGTTCAGATTTGGATATAGCTCAAATACATAACTTCGTCCGATTTAGTTTTTATTGTGCACCAAACGTCTAATATTTGTCCAAATGTAATGGAATTTGGCACTTACGACCGAATTGAGTCTAGAAGCTAGTATGTCAAATTTGGTAAAGATCGGTTCAGATATAGCTATAGCTCCCATATATATTGTTTATCAGATTTGTTATTTTTGTTACTCACAACCGTAATTTGCACTCCGTAACAACAATATTCAGGGAAATATATCAAATACAGCTTAGAAATATCTTTGCCAAATTTTATCGAGATCGCCTCAGATTTGGATATAGCTCCCATATATATCTTTATCTGATTTCAAATTTATTGTGCACCAAATGGGCAATACAAGTCCGAATTTAAAAGATACAAATGCTTCGGCATTAAATGAACTTTAAATTATATTTAAATTATATTTAAATTATAATTAAAATCATAGCATGTATGATTGAATTCTCCCATAAAAACTTTTAATTGTTATGCGCAGCTCTACTAAATTAGCAAAGTGGTGTAGGGTATCATAAAGTCGGCCCCGCCCGACTTTAAGACTTTCTTTACTGGTTTAATGCTCGACTGTCTTTACTGGTTTTAAAACACATTTGACTTTTTCAAACCACCATTTGTTCTTTTTCAAATGCTAGGCACCCATGTTTATACCGTAACCGAAGAACTGAATTGGTATGCTGTTATGTGGACCCTGTCAGTGCTCCTGATTGTAGGCGTAAAATTGGTAAGTTCCATTTGTAAAGTGATACAAATTCGTAAACTCTCCCTCTTTAAAAGCAAATCCATCAAGCAATTGCTCCATGGCTGCTAATGGGTGGTATAGTCGTTGTCATCGGTTTCATTGCCGGCACCATCATTGGTAATCCTGAAAAGTATATTTTGGAGCTTTCCGTAATAGGTAAGGTATACTTCCAAATATAGTTCTTTTGTTTTTAAAATTAGTCTTCTTATTTGTTCAAAGCTATTCAAGCAGTGACGTGGATACCCGTCTATTTGCATTACAAGGCGTTGCGAGAAAGTTTCTACTTCAAACCGAAGAATTATGTACGGCCCAACAAATATGCTGGAGCTATGGATTAGAAATTCATTAACTAAATAAATGAGTTGGTTAAAATGTATAATAATAAAATTAATATAAAAAACAAACAAACAAAAATTTGGTGATATACTTGAAGGGTTTGTTATGACACGAGGAGGCAAGACACGTGTAAGACACTTGTACCTCCCAGAAGCTAAAGACAATTTAAGGGCTTAAACACAGATACCATCAGTAATATAAATATCAAATTTCATAATTTTATCTCTATCCCTTCACTCAGTACTAAATACAGTACCATTCAGTTCTTTTCGCGCAGTTATAGTATACATTTCCGAAACAACTTCTGTGTCTCAATCCTAAACACCAACAGTTACATTTATACCATATTTCGAGATTCCAGCCCTATTCCTTCACACAATACCAAATTTAGTACTTTTCGTTCAATTATAGTACACATTTCCGAAATCACCTCCATATGTTAAGGCTACAGATGAACATTGACTAAATGCCAAATTTCAGATTTCAAGAACTATCAGTTCACCCAATACCAAATTGTACCAAAAAATAGTACTATTTAGTACTTTTCGTGAACTTGCCATACATATTTCCAAAACGAATTTCGAATTTCCAAAAACCCTTTAGTACTTCTATCTTGAGCTCCATCAGTATCTTCTGTTACCGTGATACTGGTACGGTAGCCCGACGTCAAGGAAGTGGACGTAAGAAAACAGCAACATCAGCAAAATGATTCTAAAATTAAAGAAGCGAAGAATGGTTTTACAATTAGGTTCCTCGCTTCATTTCCAGCGCACAATCCAACATCTCCGGATACCAATCCGTTGGACTATTGTGTCAGGAGTATTTTGGAAAGCAAGGTGGCACTAAAAAATACCAAAGTGTCGATGAGCTCAAGCAAGCTCTTCGCCGGGAATGGGCCAAAATACCGCAGAGCAACACTTGGGCAGCGTGTGACAATTTCATTGGAAGTTTGAAGGCCATAATTCGTGCCAAAGGTGACCAATTCGAACATTTTTTGCTTTGATTCAATCAAATTAAAAAAAATGTAAAAATTATGGCGTGTGACTTTGTTGCAGTTTTTTTATCTCACCCTGTATATACCTTATGGGGTCTACGACGAATATTTTGAGAATTTCAAAATTACAAGAAACAAACTCATAAACAAACGTTGTTTTTATAAAAACAACAATAATGGGATTTTGCCTGACGATTTTGCAACATCAAGAAAATCAAACATTTAATCCAATTTTGTGTGAAATGATAAATTCCGATAAATTTCATATCCATATCAAATTTATGGCTGAGAGAAATATTTAGATAAAAAACCAGTTTGTAAAGAATAGCTTTTGTCTTTAAATATGTTTCGTAAGTTATGACAGAGAATTGTGACTCTTCTCATCTCATCTTCACAACAGATCTTGCGTTAGAAGAAATGTTTGGATGAGTGACATTTGAGAGAGTTAATTCGTGTTTTATGAGCGGTTTGATTTTCCATCTTCACAGCAGATCTTGAGTTAGTAGAAATAATGGGATGTGTGTAATATGAAGAGGGCCGGATGTTTATTTCGGATTTTACAATCGCTTTGTTTATTCAAAACTTTGACCTTTTGTGGGGAAGGTACCAGAAGGAATGGTGTGAATCGGATGTTAATTTCGCGTTTTATGAGCTTCATGGATATTTTAAATGTTTTCCATTAATGGAGTGGGCCCATATTGTCATTTTCTCACCTGACCTAGAACTGATGCAAATATTAGGATTTGCAAAATTGGAGAAAAATCGAGTTATCCTCTCTCTTTCTGTGCAGATTTTTTTTTTTTTTTTGAAAATGGTGACCTTTTTTGGGGGAGAAATGAGAAGAAGCTGACTGATATTGACCATCTCCGAATTCGATCGAGTTTGATAATAATATTACGATATACCAAGTTTAGATACACTCTTCGAGAGTTATCGTGCGCACCAACCAGCAGACAGACAGACAGACAGACAGACGGATGGACGGACGTCCCTAGATCGAATTTGGTCCAAAGAGACCTAGGGTTTAAAACCGTTATTTCGATGAGGCACGTTTTGGCCTTAGTGTGTAAAAATAATAATAATAATTAAATAATATATAATGGAACTTTAATTTTTTTAAGGATTTCGAGGATATCCGATTTTTTATTAAGTGAAGTTTTCACTTAGAGGATGGTATAAAAAGTTTGAACCAGCCTAAGCCCGTTGTTATATGTTAAATATAAATGTATTAAGTATTTTTTTAAGGACGAACTAAGTCAGGTTCAAGTTCAAGTGTACCGAATAGTCTGCATTCAATATAATGCACCGTTCTTAAAGCAATAATCCCATATTCCAATTTTTTGGCAGATGCCATATGACCAAAAAACCTTTGTTAAAATTCTCTAGATTTTCCTTCAAAAGAAACCTATCCGTCTAATTTAAAACTTCGTGTGTCAGCTTCTCCAGCTTCTCCTTATCTCGAGAACCACAAATAAAACAAAGTCTAATGATTAGAACCTAACCTTTGATTTTTCGGCTTGGTGTAGTCTTTTACAGATCACAGAAATTTTAAAAAAATAACACACAAAATTGCATTTGACAACGTAACAACTACAACAAACGAGCTCATAAAGGAGCATAGCTTAGAATGAATGTTTTTTTTTATCAAAAAAAAAAAAAAAAACAAATTTTGACCTATGGCGATAACACTAACTTGGCCCGAGATTATAATTTGGCAATTAATCCACAAGCAGACAAATGCGCTTTAAGACTGTCGAAGGTGTAGCATTTTCAGTCAGTTGATTTTTTGCTGCTGTGCTCTAAGTTTGTTAAGAATTTTGCATTCCTGTACGCTTTGCTGCTATCATTATGTCGCGTTCTACATTTGCCGTCGTGATTGGTGTCGTGAGTGCAGTCTGGCATTTTATGGTTGCCGCATTGTTGTTTATCATTGGCAATGTTTTCGATGAAGTTGTTGAGGAAGAGAGTGCCTCGGAGGTGAAGGATGCAACCGTCGATCCTGAGAAATATGCTGCCATGAAGGAAATGATTAGTGGTAAGTTTGAAGATAATAATTTTGGGAAGAATTTTTTTTTAAATTGTATTTATATTTGCGTTTGTGGTAGATTATGTTATGGGCTTCTTGTTCCTTGGTATCCTTGCCTGTATTTTTGAAATGATTGTTTCTGTCCTGTTGGTTGTTGGGGTCAAGAAGGTGAGTGTTGATAAAGTTCTTAAATCGAAATAAATGCATTTTAGCAGATAGTCCTTGAAAAATCCACTATTCAAAAGTCCTTATTCATAATCAACCGATTATCGACAATCGACTTTATATACAGAGTGAGATAAAAAAGCTGCAACAAAGTCAAACGCCATAATTTAAAAAATTTTTCTACATTTTATTGAATGAAAGCAAAAAATGTCGGAAATATCATCAAGTTTTAGAATAAGTTCAGATTTGTTCGAATTGGTCACCTTTGGCACGAATTATGGCCTTCCAAAGGCAAATGAAACCGTCACACGCAGTCCGAATGTTGCTCTGCGGTATTTTGGCCCATTCCCGGCGAAGCGCTTGCTTGAGGTGATCGACACTTTGGTATTTTTTAGTGCCAACCTTGCTTTCCAAAATACTCCAGACACAATAATCCAACGGATTGGTATTCGGAGATTTTGGTGGCCATTGTGCGCTGGAAATAAAGCGAGGAACCCCATTTTGTAACCATTCTTGGGTGGCGCGTGCTGAGAGCGATGGTGCTGAGTCCTGTTGGAATTTCCAAGGTCTGCGGCCAAAATGCTTGCGTGTCCAATGCTTTAATACACCATCCAGAATTTTTTCGCGATAATATTCGGCATTTATTCTGATGCCACGGTCGATTAATACGAGCGGAGCGGCTGTTATGGCTGCCCACACCATCACCATGGCCGGCGCTTGAGTTCTGGTGGCCAACAGAAGGTCCACATTTTCAGCTGACCTCTTTGCCAAGTAAACACGATCATTTTGATTGTTTACAAACTGCTGGACAACGAATGTTTTCTCATTGGAGAAAACCAAATTCGGCAGTTCACCACTTTCGGCCAAGCGAAGCAACTCTTTAGCTCTTTTGGGTGTATTTTCTTTCTGTTGCGGTGTGAGTTCTGGCACTTTTGGAATTTCAATGGCTTTACCCCGAGCTCAATTTTTAATGTTGCCGAATATTGCTAATCAGCTCACGAGCCATTTTTCGGCCACTGGGATGCGAGTTCCATCAAGTCGCTTCTTTACTTTTCGAATTATTTCTGCTGATGTTGCTCTATTCTTCCGTCCGCTTCCTTGACGTCGGGCTACGCTACCGCTATCACGGTAACGAGCGATGGTATGGTATGGACATAACGATAGCCACTTGTGGTTTTCCAGCCATATATAAAGAAATCACACTATCAGGCTTGAATTCCATCACGAATAACTTTTTTTGGAAAATTCTCACTAAAATGCTGTTGTACGCTGGCAAACAACATAATGAGCTGTCACTGGAATAATTTTAATCGCTGTCCTGTACATTCGATATCTTAATATATTTGTGAGCACCTAAAAGTACTTAGGAAAATGTGAAACAGCTACTTTATATATGACTCCACCATGCTAACAACTATTACCTTCTCCATCCAGCAACGCCCTCACCTAGTTGCCCCCTGGGTTTATGTAACAGTTATTGCTCTGGTCCTGCAAATGGTGAACATTTTCGTTGATGCCGACGATAGCAAAGATAAAACTGAATTTTTGGAAATCATTTCTTGCGGTAAGTTAGAAAAAGTTTTCAATCTCTTTTGAAATTGACAAAATGCAATTTTTTGTCGTTTTAGTATTCTATGCTGCCATCTGGTATCCCATCTATCGTCTCTACAAGAAAATGGTTAAGGAACAAAAGACTGTCATGCCCCATACCGTCAGCAGTCCTGTGAATCCCCATTATGTTCCTTATGTTATGTCCGTATCGGATTCCAAAACAGTTCCTCTATCGGATTTTTCTCACAGCGCTAAATATGTTCATGCCGAAGCTAAAGTTGAGACCGTTGTTCCAGCCCAAACAATGTATCCTGAAATGCCCGC